TTTCCTTCTGAACCCTCATGCCCAGCCAAATGGGGTCCTGAAGATCACCAGTGCCAGCTGCAGGGGTGAGGGCAGCGGGCTGAGGCTGCTGGGGAGCCACCAAACACCTGCCAAGCACCCCCTGCACCCCACCAGGATGGTGCCAACAGCACCCCTGGGTGCAGGAATCCAGAGTTATCATACTGCACTGCAGGGCTTATGCTTGTGAGTGTGGAAAATGGATTATTTAGAATATTAACTATTGTTTGCCAAGGAGGAGGTAGAGTTCCTGCTTTGCTGTTTCCTCTCACAACATCACTAAAAAGATCCTTGGTGGGACAGGAACCACGTCCTACAGATGGGACACTGGGAGGGCAGCCAGAGCTGGGGAGGTGAGACGTTTCTTGCCACCAACGTGGTCTCCCCCAGGCTGTGTTTTCCACGCCAGTTTCCTGGTGCTGGGATTGTGGGAGCTTCCATTCCTGTTTTCCTGCCTTACCAGCAGTTTTGAAGCCAAGGAGAGCAGAGAGTTCAGCAAAGAAGGGCAAGGAGAGGAGGGTCCCGAGGTGAGCGGTGCACCCTCCTGCCAAGGGCTTGCTGGGCACAGCCTGTTGACAAAGGAGCTCCCCAACAAACAAGCTGGCTCCACCTGGGGCAAGGGATTAGAAACCTCGGCACAGCCCTCGGATTCCTCCCAGCAAACCGACTGTGGCTGGAGGCAGGGATTAAACCCCGTGCTGAGGAATGTGGCTCCTTCCCGCTGCGGAGTCCAAGTTGGCACCGCGTCCCCACTCAAGACTCGGCTTACATAATGCAGCTTATGAAAGCAAAATAGCACGGCCATGCCAGCCTGTGGGCAGGCCAGGATGGGAGGAAAGGAAGGGAAAGAAAGGCATTTTTTGGCTGAGGTGAAGCCTGGCTGCCCCCCCTGCAGTGCAGTGTCACTGGGGAGGAGAGGAAGGAGCAGCGAGGGAGAAGGGCCCAGTTCTCCTGCAAGGCTGTGAAGAGCTGCACTCCTGGTGTTCAGTCTGGAGTCACAAAATGTGGATTTTCCTCCTCAGTTCGCCTCTCTGACCCTGGGTTTCTCCTCTGTCAGGCAAGTTCACGTTGAGGTCACCACTGCAGGCTTGGGGAGGCTAACATGCAAGAAGCACCCAGCCCCAAATTCCATTCCTTCTGAACACAGACACCTCCAGAGGCAGCTCAGAGATGCTCCGACCCACGTCATCTCCCACTGGGAATGGAGCCCCTGGAGATGATGCTTCAGTGAGGAGAGCAGTAGGATTGTGTCTGCCCAGAATCCTTCTCCACAGGTTCCCACCAGAGATCAGTGCACAAAAAGGAGGAACAGTCCCCAAACACCCAGCTCAGGGTGGAGTGACGAGGCTCAGACTGAGATCACCGCTCATGAACCAGGCAATTCACAAGTGACATCTTTAGTCATCCCTCAGTGACTGATATCCCCCACAACCTGCACGGCCTTGGGAAAAGCTGATCCTACTAATGGCCTGGCCCCTTTGTCAGCAAGCAAAGAGTCAGGGTTCAATTTACATCCACACAGGACGTGTTGAAACTGCAAATAGGTCATCAGTCCCAGCTGGAGAGCCTGGAGAACCCCTCGTGGGTGGAGGACACACTCAGGAGCCAGCCCAGGTCTGGCTCTGCCTCCAGCTGGCTGGGGAAGCCAGGCAGGCCTAAGGAGATCTCCCCTTTCAAGAGCTGCCACTTGTTCCCCAAGCAGCTGTCCTCAGTTTAATCAGTAACTGCACAAGTGGGATGAGATGCTGGCTCAGCTGGAGCTGGGTTATGGATGTGTGTGATGGCAGGAGTCCCCTCCCAGCTCTGCCAGCTTCCTCAAAGGGCTCCCACGAGATATTATCACACCTGACCTTTCTCCAGCACCCTTCTAGAGCGTGCCCTGGCCTCCTTTGAGGGCACAGAGAACCTCCAGCCATTTCTCCTAAGGTGGAAACCTCATCACTTTTATCAGCTGGCCAACTGAAAGTGTAGATCTCAGCCCCACACCAGAGGAGCTGGAGCTCCAAAAGGCATTTCAAGAGAACAAAGCTGCTCTGATAACAGCAGCTTCAAGCCCAAACAGAGGCTCTTGCAGAGCAAATCACCCCCTGAGCAGTGTGTGCCTGGGGCCGTCCCTTCCCATCCTCTGTGGGCAGAAGGAGATGCAGGACACTCCCAGGAAGCAGAGAAATATTTATTGGAGAAATAAAACCACTTTCACCCAGCAACTTCTCCCTCCCCGCCTCTCTTCTCCCCCAGGTGAGGGCATCCAAAAGTCAGCTCAGCAATCCTGGCCCAGCTAAGGCTGGCTGATTCCTCCTCCTCCAGATGTGTTCAGCCAGAGGCTGTGCCAGCCTGTGAAGGCTGACCTACCAACCAAAGGTAATCAAGGAAGATCAAACAGCACAGAAAAACTCCTACAAAATTGTAAGGGAAGAGGGATGGGGATACTGGAGCAGCACTAGTGGGAGTGGGAAAGGGCAGGAGAAATCCAAACAGCCACACTTGATGCACCAGGCTCTGCAGAAAGGGAAAATCCCTCGTGTCCAGGCAATAACTGGGCTGGCACAGCCTGGCAAAAAAAAGATGCTTCAAGTGTGATCTTGATTAGCTCATGTGCTCCAGGCTGTGTTTGAAGGGAGCTGTGGCTAATCTTCTTTTGATTGTCTTAAAATCCAGCTATGGGGAGAAGCCTGGCATGTGAGCAGATACATTAATGGGTTAGGGGCAGCCTTGTCTCCTAAGCTGGTGTTTGATTAAAAGGGAGCACAACCAACAGGCACTTCAAAAAGCTGCTGCTATTTTTGGCTGCTTCATTTGGAGCAGTTCCTGATGCTTGGATGTGCCCAGCAAACCCTTTGGGACTGATCCTTGCTATATCATTATTCACATTTTAAGGATGCGTGAGTAGAGAGAAAAGAGATTCACTTCCTCCTGAGAGGCTCAGATCAAAAGTCAAAATGTTTTCTATGAATGCATAAGACATAAATTCAGCTTCTGAGGGTTTCAATCTCAATTTGTAAGAGCCCCTTGGCCTTAAGAGGAGGCCTCCCTACCCTACAGAGCTGGGAAATGGTGTTTAGGTAACTACAAAGCAGATTCAGCAAGGAGGCTTTAGGCAAAAAGTCAGAAAACAATGTCTAGGGGGAATAAATTATTTTTCCCCCCTTCTAATTCATTATAATTTTCTTTTCCCCCCTATACTTTTAATAATGATCTGAAAAGCTATTTCCCAGCACAATGTTGTTCTGACCTTGTTTTCGGCCGGGTAATTGTGCAGTGAGTGGATAAATGCTTTCTCAGCTGAGAACAAGAGGAACCATTAAGCATCAAGCTCCTGACCTAAATTTACATTCAGGGCAGCTGGAGGAGCAAAGGACTGATGCCTGCTCCCCTTATCAGCCTGAGGGACACCCCAGAGATGGCATCTTCCTAAGGGACACCCCAATGGCACAGGGAGATGCTGCTTGCCCCAAAGCAACCCAAGGAAGATGTCCCTGCCCACAGCAGGGGGTTGGAATGAGATGATACTCAAGGTCCCTTCCAAACCAAACCAATTCCACGGCAAAACACAAAACCTGCTGCCCATCAGCTCCTCCTGCCCAAACCATTCCATGATTCCATGCCAAAACACAAAACCTGCTGCCCATCAGCTCCTCCTGCCCAAACCATTCCATGATTCCATGCCAAAACACAAAACCTGCTGCCCATCAGCTCCTCCTGCCCAAACCATTCCATGATTCCATGCCAAAACACAAAACCTGCTGCCCATCAGCTCCTCCTGCCTTGGTGATGCTCAGTGGCCAAAACGGAGCCATGTCCCTTTTTCCCAATTTTTTTTATTCCCCAGGAGGAAAGGGTATCTGGAGGGAGATTCAATGATTTTCAGTGTTTGAAAGACCAGGATCTTTAAGAGAAACAAACAGAAAACCAAACCGTGTCTTTTCCTTCCTTCTGTGCCAACGCCTTTAGAAAAGTTCTCTTACTTCAGGTGAAATCCAATTCTTTCCTCTGTAACGTTTTCTTGGAATGCATAAGGAAGAGCAGTTGCCTTATTCCTGAGCCCAAATCAGAACAAATTTTGAAGATTTCCCGGCTCCTGAGTTACCCCTGAGTTTGTTTTGGCTGCACACCCCAGCTTCCAAATCCTTGTGGCCGTGTCAGGATGGGAGGAAAGGAAAGGTGTTCACTTTGCCTCTGTTCCAGTCACACCAAGCATAGAGACAGGGTAATTTTGGGACTGTGCTGAGGAAGGTGCTGCCCCCAATGTTCCCCAGGAGGGAGATGCAGGAAAACAGCTGATCCACAAAAAAACGTGATGGCAGGAATGGCCCCATCAGCCCAGCAGGAGGCTCAGGTGCAGTTAATCCAGATTTAAAGGTGGGAATGGTTAAAGCATCCTCTCCTGGATGAATCACCTCCTGGGAAGCTGGGGAATGGCACCATGGGCTAAATAAAGGACCACGGGAGCAAAGTGACACATTTCTACTGCCTGGGTTATTTTCCCAAATGACTGGGTTTATGCCAAAGGAGGACGAGCGGCATTTTCTCATTTCTCTCTTTTTCTTTCTTAGGGAGAATGGGAAAGGTTCTTTTTCCACAAAGCTCCCTTTTAAATTAAGTTTGCCGGGGTTTTGTTTTCTGTAGGATTTCTACATCATGTAGAAATTGTGAGGGGGAGGAGGCTGGGAAATGCACAAACATCTGTAGCAACCCCATAACCCTCCCTGTGGACACGCACAAGCCCAGGTCCTGTCCCATCCCAAAAGGATCCCATTCAAGCCAGAGCTGGACTATCCCTCACCACAGAACCAACCACTGCTGACAAATTCCCATTTTCTGGAGAGCACACATGGATTGAAAGACCCCTGACCCTCCCCCCACCCCCAAAAAAAACCCCAACCCACAAATGAAAAGCCACATCTACCCACTAACAGAGTCAAAATCCTTTCAAATGGTGAAGGCAACACACGCACAAAAAGAGGCTGCAGAGGTCAGATTGAAGGTTTTGTTCTTTTTTTCCTTTTTTATTACAAAAAAAAAAAAAAACCAACCCCAAAAAAAACCCCTATTCGGAAGAAGTCCAAATGCAACGGAATATAACTGGCACCATCTAAGATACCCAAGTGTAAAATCCCAGAATGTCTGAACCCCCCAGCAGCAGCTGGGAGGGACAGGGCTGGCTGGGAGGGACAGGTGGCCTTTCCCTTCCCTTCTCCTAGCCCCCATCATCCTGGCTGGGTGGCACGCAGCCCGAGAGAGCCAGGACACAACAGTGGCATCAACGGTCTCTGTAAAACCATTCAGTCGGAGAAACTAAGAACATTATGAAAAAAAAAATCTAAAACTTCTCTTCTTTTTTTTTCTTTTTTTTTTGTTTAACCTTTATCCAAAGCCCTGCTTTAGTGACGTGCTAGCCCTGCTGGACAGGTGACACAGCCACAGCTCTGTCCGGAACGCTGTTGACCAGTCAACTCTTGGTTCAGGACACCTTCCTCCCACTCCGAGCATGTCATGGCCACCTGAATTACAGTAACAAATGCTTCTGCAGGCTTCCTGCTCTGGGAACCCCCTCCTGCAAGCTCCACTCCACGCTGGAACAAATCTCATCCCAGTCTCCCTCCGAGCTCACCCTCAGTCCCACCTGCATCCGACTGCATCTGCAAGAGCTCTGCCCGCTCCGGCTGGATGAGGCGTTGGAACGTCATCTCTTCAAGAAAAAAACACTTTCATATATAATTTTTTTTCTGTTTTTATATTTAAATAGAAAAATACTACTTCACTCTGTGTTATGAGCCAGAGATGGGTTGACTTCCAGTGACAGAACCAAGAGTTCTCCTCAATGCCAGAAGATTCCCAGAAACCTCAGAGTGGCCGGAGGGCGACGATGTCCCCGTCACGTCCCCATATAGGCAGGAGCACACGCACAGCTCCCGTCACCACAGCTCCCATCTTCCCTTCTCCACAGAGAGGCACCAACCTCAGACAGCCATCAGTCTGCAGAGAGCCAGCAGCAGGGCTGGCCCCCCCAAATCTGGCTCTGTTTTAAGCTTTCTCCTCTCCTACGGGTTTTCTGCATGTGCAGTCTGTCCCTGGAAGCCACCGGATCCCATCGGATGTACACATGAATTAGACAAAAAAAATAAAACAGTGGTTAAAAGTTCTCTAACACCCCGTCCTCCTCTCGTCTTCCGAAGAGTCAACGACAAACAGACACGGATAAAACTAAACCTGCCCTCCTCCCCACCTCAAGACAACAAGAGTTACTGAGACACGAAACATGTTATCTTGTACCCTCGGGATTACAGCTAGAAGGGAACTTTAGGGGCGCGGGGAGCGCGGGGGGAGGCGGCGGCGGCGGCCGCGGGGCGCAGTCTGCTTAGTTCTTGTACTCAAAAGGCTCGTCCCCGGTTTCGTTGAGGAGACACGTGCGGACCAGCGCCTCCGTCACGGCGTAGGGGTCGCAGTTGGCCGAGGGCCGGCGGTCCTCGAAGTAGCCCTTCTTCTCGTGGCCCACGTTGCGCGGGATGCGGATGCTGGCGCCGCGGTTGGCCACGCCGGCCGAGAACTCGTTGATGTTGGACGTCTCGTGGAAGCCCGTCAGGCGCCTGGCATTGTCCAGCCCCCCCTTGGGGTCGTAGGCACGGATGTGGTACTGGTGGCGCTTGCTCAGCTTCTCGATGGCCTCCTCGATGTGCCTGCAGAGGGAGGGAGGGAAGGACAGGGGTGGCACAGTGAGGGTTGGGATGAGCTGAATGCCTCTGGCTGTCGTGTCAAAGTGACAACGAGATTAATGGCTGTCCCCAAGGCACTTTGTGATGATGCCTTGTGCCCCACAACCCACTTGGCAGTTCATCCCCACACAGAGCTTCTCTCCGTTCCTCCTGCTGACCCAGAAAAGGAGTCCTTGTGGTCAAATCCCACAGGCTCCCCCGGGAATGCCATCTGTGAGACACCAGCAGTTAAACTGCCCACTTCCACCTGCTCTCGGACAGGAGAGCTCTCAACACTGGGGTTTCCATTCATGAAGCTCACAGAGTCACAGGCTGTCCCATTATCTCAGGGCAGCACTAAGATTAAGGCAAGAAACCAGAGCCACCAGGACGGATCCTTCCACACAGCTCCAGTGACACAGGGTCCCTGACTGCACAACAGTCATGTGCAGGAACTCACAGTTTGCATTTTTAGGATGTTCATCTTTTAAGAAAACATGGCAGCCTTGCCCGGAGGAAGCAAATGGTCTTTCTCTTTCATCATGGCTATAAAAATACAATTTAAAAAGTCCTGTGCTGGGTTGGTTTGTTTGTTTGTTCCCAGCTGGAAGGTCAGGAGCTGGACAGGCTGTTAGAGATAGCTGCATCCTGTACTGGTGGAGCTGTACTGCTGGCTGAATTCCCCACCAAGCATCAAGACAAGAATGTGTCATTATAAAAAAAAATACATACGAAGAAAAAAAGAAACCACAAAAACAAAATGACCAAAAAAACCCTATCCAGAAGGCTCATATGCCATGCCAAGAACCAAACTCCCATGTCATCCAAAATCCTGCTGCCCAGTAAACAACCCACACACTTACTTGAGACCTCCTTCTTCCCTCATGCTCTTGGTGCTGAAGTTGGTGTGGCAGCCAGCACCGTTCCAGTTCCCAGGGATGGGTTTGGGATCGAAGGACACCACGACCCCGAAGTCCTCGCACACCCGGTGCAGGATGAAGCGCGCGATCCAGAGGTGATCGCCCATCTCAATCCCCTCGCATGGTCCCACCTGGAACTCCCACTGCAAGGAGGAGGCGTCAGGGGCTCAGTGGGGTGGAGACAGGCACCTCCCACCCCCTGATGCTGGGCACAGCCACACAGCTCAGAGCAGGCAGACACTGCTCCCGCTGCCTGCGGTTTTTCCACGCTACTCTCTCTCATTCCATGAGGTATCTTAGCATGATTTACCTGGGCTGGCATCACTTCTGCGTTGGTTCCTCCGATTTTCACGCCGGCATAAAGGCATGCCCGGTAGTGGGCCTCCACAATGTCCCTGCCATAGGCTTTGTCTGCCCCTACACCGCAGTAATACGGACCTGCAAGAGCACAGGGGAACATCAGCTCCACAGGGAAAATCGCTGACATCCAGTGAAGACCCAGCACGCACAGAGAATGCTTCAAAAGCCCCAAGGTGTGCTTTTCATGGAAGAACTAGCAGGGTAGAACACCGACAGAGAGCAAGTTCTCCCCTGAGTTTAAGTCCCCTGCAGACCAACAAATTTGTTGTCCCCTGCAGCAAATTTGGACATGGCCAATCCCCACCTCAGCCTTTCTGTGACAAATTTAATCTCGTGGTTGGTTTTTGCCAATATTTCACTTTCTACCGTCCACCTTTGGTTCTAGGAACACCTTGGAGCCCTCAGCTCGCCTGAAGCTGTGCCACACAGATTTCAGTTCAAACACTCCTGACTTGCTCCAGGCTCCCAGAAGATTACCTTGGGGTCCAGGGAAGCCATTGGAAGGCCAGCCAAACGGATGTCCGTCTGTCCCCAGGAGAGTGTACTCCTGCTCCATCCCAAACCAGGGGTGCTGGTTGGACACCATGTCCATAATCCTCCTGCAGGTGTGCCGGAGATTTGACTCTGGAACGGAAAAGCGACACGAGGCTCATGAGCGATGCCACCTCCACTCCCCATTTCCACTTATTTTACACTTTGAGTCCCAGCAGCATTGAAGAATCCCAAGCCCAGCCTTTTATCCGCCACCAGCACTTTGTTCGCCCTCTACTTTCAAGTTCTTTCTTCCCATTCCCCTTCCCGGGAACACCACCTGCACCAGGAGAAGGAAGAAGGTCTGTTCATTCACCTGCAGACTGGCGGTTGTATTTGAAGACCTCACAGAGAACGAGTTTGTTGGGGTCCTTGCGGAAAGGGTCCCGAAACATGGCAGCAGGTCGCAGGTACATGTCACTGTTGGAGCCTTCGGACTGGTAGGTGCTGGAGCCATCGAAATTCCACTCAGGGAGATCTGGAGCAAAGAGAGGAACCAGCCACAGTGACCCATGGGCCTCCAGTAAGGCAGAGGTGAAGATGCTCATAGAGAACTGGTTTAGTCCCAGCTCAGCTGATTTTGTTCCAAGTGGGGGAAGCAAAAAAACCCAACGAAACAAAACCCAAAACAAGCAAAAAAATCACAGGAGTGCAAGTCCCCGGCCACCCTGGAAAATAACAAGTTGCTGGGCTGCTGGCCAAGCCCGAGTGAACAGAGTAGCACTGAGGACATTTCCCATGTCACAACAACCACAGGGATGAGCAAAGCATGCAGTCCCCTCGGCTGGGAGAGGGCAGACCATGAGCCATCCTCCAGCTGTGGGAGTGAGGACAGCCATACCCTCAATCACACTACAAGGCCTTAAGAAGGTGGGAAGGCAAATCAGAGAGGTGGAATCTCCTATGGAAGGGGAGCGTGGCCCCTCGCCCACCCCTCCATCCTGAGCACTGCCCTTCAGGTCAAAGCCCAGAACTCCACCCGGGCAGTGTTATCTCCTCCATATCCCAGGGGGAAAGAGGGAGGATGGGAAGCACAAAGATTTCTAAGGAGCTGTGTCAACCACTCCCTCAGAGGGAAAAGGGGAAAGGAGAAAGGGGAAAAGGAAAAAAAAAAAAAAGAAAAAAAAGGAAAGAAAAAAAAAAGGAAAGAAAAAAGATAACTTTGCTCAGTCACACACAGTATTTTCATTTCATAACTGTCTCCAGCCAGCTCCATGGCAACCTGGGGAAAATCCTAATGCTATTATTGTGTAAGCTGGGACTGTTTGTTCTGAGGGACACAAGCTCTTAATTACACCGGATAGCTCCATTCTTTCCCCTGCACTTTCTTCTGCCAAACTACTTCCGGCCAAAACGAGTACTCAAGAGTCAATGGGCAGCCCAGCCCCTGCCAAGAGCCCCCAGCCCCTGCCAGCAGCCCCTCCACGGCGGGGACAGCCCCAAGGACGGGCTCCCAGCCCCAGGCATCTCCCTGAAACTCCACATCTGGAGAGCTGGGAACGTTCCCCCACGGAATCTGGGGAGAGAGGTAACGGGAAGGGCCAAGGAGGAAACATCTTCCCTAAAAACCATCCTTCTGCCACGGGAAGAGAGAAATGGCATCCTTCCTCCACCCAGTGAGGGGCTACGAGTGCTGCACCTGCCCTCTCACCTTCCAGGCTCTTGGGCTCGTGGTCCAGCGTGCGGGTTTTGCAGCGGAGGTGCTCCCCCGTGCCGTCGATCCAGATGTACATGGCCTGCACCTTCTCCCCCTGCGGCAGCTTCATGTACATGTGCTTGATGGCTTTGCTCAGGTGGGAGCTCGCTGAGGTGGCCATGGCTGCAGTCCTGACGAGGGGGTTCCTGCAGGGGGGAATCACAAACAGCCCCAGCTGTCAGCCCTTTCCTGCGTGCCCACATTTTTCGGCAGCCCCCCTTCCCCACCCAAGGCCAGGGAGGAGCAGGAGCCAGCCTGGCCGCAGGGCTGGCTGCCATCTCCAGCGGTTCCCTGGCATTCCTCAGGGAGAACACACAGCAGCCCAGGCTAGCCCTGCTCCAGAAACCCTTCAAAACACCAAGCTCCTGCTAATAAACCAGAGCGACAGACTTCCAAAGGGCTCCTTAGCCCCACGTGAACTTTTCACCTCCACACTCTGCTCAAGAGCAAGGCTAATGCAAGGAAAGCTTAGCTGGGGCTTTCTTCATAAATCTGCATCATCGAGGAGGGCTTTTCTGCCCCAGCTGCCTTCTCAGCCCGGCTGAGCTTATCCAAGCCCGGTCCCAGGGCAGCAGGAAAAGCAACAGGCAGCACAGAGGAGCCCTGAGCACCGCAGGCAGCAGAGGGGAGGCGGGATGGGCCGGGTGGCTCTGGCACCACCGGGTGGGAGCTGCAGCATCCCCAGAGCCCTGCGGGACGGCCTCCTATGGCCAGCCAGCCCACTGGTGTCCGACCCACAGCACCGGGGAGCTCGGAAATGTCTGGAAATGTTTGGATGTCGCTCCAACATCCCGCTGTCCCGCGGGATGAGCCGTCCCCAGCCCACCCCGCCGCGGCTCCCCGCGCCCCGCTGCCCTGCCAGGGGCATCTCCCACGCGTGCATCTCCAGCGAGCAGCTGAGGAGCCTCGTGGGGGGCAAAAAACCACCCACACCAACTGCAAAGGGAGTGTTTTCAACAAAAACTCAAGCTGCCACTTCCTCCCCACCTCCCCGCCCCATCCTCCCCTTCCCCCAAGGGAGGAATTTTCCCTTGGAAGATCTCCCCGGGGCTGCCTCCCCGGCCCTGCCGTGCCCGGGGGGCCTGCGGCGGGTGGCGGCACGGCCGTGTCCCGGTGTCCCCGTGTCCCCCGGGCCGTACCTGGGCTCGGCGGCGGCGGGCGCGGGGCTCCCACGCTCGGCTCCCGGGGCCGCGCCCGCCGCCCCTTTATGGCGGAGCAGCGCCGGCCCCGCCGCACGGATTGGGCAGCGGGCGGGACGGGAGGGACACGGGAGGGGGGACAGGGCCACCACTCCGCCTGCCGCCTCCTCCTCCTCCTCCTCCTCCCGCTCCGGCCCCGCAAAGGGGCACAAGGGTGGGTGGGTGAGGAAAACTGAGGGAAGAGAGGGCAGAAAGAGGAGAGGTTGGGTGGGTTTGGGGTCTTTTTAACAACGCTCCCGAGCGGAAAAACAACCCCTGGGCAGGCGGGAGCGGATCCAGGGCTGTCGGCAGCGTTTACATTAGCGGCTGCCTTGGCAGAGCTCGCAGGGATGAAAAACGGCCACCCCGGGAAAAGCGGGAAGAGAGGGAGGCACCGCAGCTCCACCGAGTCCAGGGCACGGGCTTTGGCTGGGTGCCCGCTCTTGGGAGTGGGGCAAAAGCCTCGGTGCCCCCCTTGTCCTCCCTGGAGCAGGTCACAGCCTCCAGCACCTGGATTTGCAGAGGCTCGCTGCAAGGATCGCGGACTGTCACTCGAGGGGGAGAAATCCCCCACCCCACCATGGGAGCACCCAGCAAACCGCAGGGCAGTGCCCAGTATTTTTCCACAATGTCCGGGTCTCCACCGCACAGGGTCGCTTGTCCCATGTCCTGCAGCTCCAGGATATGGGATAAGAGACTCCTACAAGTCCCAGCCCGGATCCAAGGGGCAGGAGCAGACGGAGCTGCCACCCGTGTGTGCACACGCCGAGGGCACACGCAGGTGCCAGGGCGAGCACACGCCACCCACACGCCTGCCACAGGATCCTGCTGTGCCCCGTGCCAGCCTCGGGGAGATGGCACCAAAACTGCCATTCCTCGAGCAGCTGGAGCCTCCCGGCCATCACAGCCACCCTGCCCGGGACACGGCCACAGAATCCAGAGGGAAAGTGGCCAGGGAGAGCCGGATCCTCAGGAGGGAGGAGGTGGAAGTGCTGGCCAAAACCAGGCTGTGATTTATCGCCCATCTCGAGAGCCAGATCCCCACCCTCCCTGCGGGGACAGCTTGGCTCAATCCTCACACCACCTTGGAGCGGCCATGGGTGTGTGGCAATGCCCCGAGGCTGTCCAGAACAAGGTGAGATTCGGGTGCTTTTCTCCTCCTGGAATTGCTTGGGCAAGGCAGAGAGCCAAGGAGCATTGCAATAGCCTGCCCTCAGCACCCCAGAAAGTGCCTGCTGCCAGCACCCCCGCTCCTGCACCCCGTGCACAGAGAAATGGCTCCAGCACACCAACAAAAGTGGTGTTTTACCCACGGAAATGAGCTCAGGAACTCACGTTCAGCCCAAGTTCAGCTGTGGTCACCCAAATCTAACAGCTCAGCTGAGTTAAAGGAAGCAGAGCGGGAGCTGGTGCCTAAAATAGCTCCCATAAAGGGGAGCTGTCAAGCCACAGGCAACGCTAAGCAGTGTCCAGCCCTCTTCCCTGGGTTTGTTGAGGGTTTCTTTAATCTGAGAGCTCTGATCGCTCCAAATTCTTGGAATTACAGTTCTACCTGCTAATTGCCCTGTAACTTTGTCCGCCTTTGGCTTCGAACACACCCATATGTTGACAAGAGGAGGCCCCTGAGCATTGGTGACCCCCGTGCCCTGCAACCTCGGGGCTGGGCAGCTCCGACCAGCCCCGAAGGCAGGCGGGGAGCGAAGGCAGCTGACAGCATAAACATCATCCCTCCATCCCAAAAATCCACAGGCCAGCCTGGCAGAGACCCCCGGGCTGGGCAGGGCTGTGATGGCGGGGTGGCAGGACGGAGCTGCCAGCCCCGGCAGGGTTTGCTGGCCGGCTCATGCCCCAGCCCCCGGCAGCCGCGGACCCAGCGCCCTCTCCCGGGAAGCGTCCTCGCTGGGCTCACCCAGCTTGTTTACCAGAGCCTGCCTTCCTTCCCCTCCTCCTCTTCCAGCCTGGCCTTTTTTTCTTTTTTTCTTTTTTTTTTTTCCTTTTTTTTTCTTTTTTTTTTGCTGCAGTGACCCCCGATGTCGCTGAAAAAACCCTCCTGGGGGGCAGCTGGGGAGGGCTCGGTGCCAACAGGCGACACCATCCAGGGGTGGATGGAAATCCACCTTCAAAGGGCCACACGCACAGACAGAGGGCGAGACAATGTCCCCTTCCAGGGGCGAGTCCCAACTGGCACAGGTTTTTCCTTCTTCCTCCTGTTAATTCGTGGGAACACCTTTATTGGCCTTTATTGGCCTGGCGCGGCGCTTCCCGCCGCCACAGTTTGATATCCTGAGAGAAGTGCCAAGGTTGGGAAGTCGCTGCTGAGTTAGGAGGGTTGGGCAGGCTGGACTTTGCAGCCTCCTGCCTGCTAGGCAGCTGGGCAAACCCTCAGGGACAGGGCACAGCCGTGACCCTTTCCTTGTCCATGTGTCCCCCTCCATCCCTGTCTTCCATTTAGAAACGCCTTAAAATGCAGAAATGTCACACCATTATGGGGGTAGGGGGGTGGGTGTGAAGAGGAGGGTGGCAACTTGAGGGTTAAATAGACAGGATATGAAATTTCCCTGTGGCTCAGGCCCTGGGGCAGTGGCTGATGGCTTTTGGGGACTTTCCCATCACTGTGATCCTCACCACAGATCCTGGGATCTCAAGCCCAACAGATTGCAGACCTCGACTGCTAAGCCCAGTTGGTTCTTCACCAGCACTAATGAAAAATTCTGAAGTAGAAAGGGATGTTATTTTGGGTTGTTTTTTTTTTATTATTTTTTTTTTTCCAACAGAGATGTCACAAAGGGAGGAGGAATTGCCCATTTTATTGTGATCCCAGGTCCCAGGAGGAGGCTGGACACACCCAAAATGCCCCAGCCTCCAGCAGTGGCACAGCTGGGAGGGAGGAGGGATGGGCACAGCATCATGGAATCACAGAATGCTTTGGTTTCGTTTGGAGGTTTGGAAGGGACCATCAAGTCCAACCCACTGCAATGAGCAGGAACATCTTCAACATCTCTGTCCTCTCAACAGTCAAGACACTCCTAATCTGAGCTAAATAAGGTGTCTGTGCTCAGCTGGGGCTGGGCTCTCTCTCCAGGCAGCACTGACACAACCAGAGCACACAGCCTGCAGCTGCAGCAAGGGTTGGATATATATACAGGTTGGATATTAGGAAGAAGTTTTTTACAGAAAGGTGATAAAGTTCTGGAATGGCTGCGTGGGGAGGTGGTGCAGTCACCATCCCTGGGGGTGTTTAACAAAGCCTGGATGTGGCACTGGGGGCCAGGGTTTAGCTGAGGAGTTGGGGCTGGGTTGGACTCGATGGTCTTGAAGGTCTCTTCCAGCCCAGACATTCTGTGATTCTGTGAATTTTGTGAGCTATACCACTTTCAGATGCATCCAGGGAAGTGCTTTGTGCTGGGAGGCCCTGCATGAGGAACTGAACTGCACCCAAGTGACCTCAGCCACGGGCTGCCTGTCCTGATGTTGCATCACCACCATCCCTGCCCACCCCTGGGCACAGCTGCCTCTGCCTGGACCCACGACAGCAGCTCCTGGTGACCTCCCGAGGTGCTCCCAGGCTGGCACACCAGGCGATGCAGCACGTTTCACCCAGGGCTGGAAAAACCAACCCAACACCCGAGCAAGCGCTTAGCTCAGCCTGGGGGGCTCGCCCTGGGGTGTGGGGGATGAGGGCCCCGGGGGGACTGACCTTGTGCAAGCAGCAGTGGCCGAGCCGTGTCCCCCGGAGCGCTGCAGGAGGCTGACGAAACCCCCCAAGGCAGGCAGGCAGCAGCTGCTGGCCCTGGCTGTGAGCAAACATTGCACGCTCCGCAGCAGCCCCATGCTCCCTTTGAAGATGCTGCCAGGGTCAAGGGTGGCCGTGGGCTGGTGGCCAGAGGGCTTTCAGCCTTTCCAGAGCAGATCACCTGGGCTGCGCTGAAGGGCAGTTTAGGAAAGCAAATTAATCAGTGCAAACTTGCAGAGGCACAGGCAGAATGATAAAAAAACCCCCTCCCTCCCCATTCAGCTCCCTGGAGCACGCACAGAGGGAAGAGGGACCTTGGGGCACGGTCCCCAGGACAGCCCAGGTGCTGCCAGCAGGTTCTTTCTTCAATTAGGTAAAAATACACCTCATAGGACTTTGGGGACTGCACTTCAAACTCAAAGATAGCCAATGGGACAGGAGCCAAAAAATTCTTGCCTAATCAATTCACCAGAAAAAGAAGAGAGCAAAGGAACTAATTGCTTTATGGGGTGTTTTACCAGGAGCAAGAACCTCTTGCGCCTGGCTTGGCTTTTCTCTGTAAAGAGTTTTGTTATTTTGCCTTTTATTAAAACTGTTCTGTTTCCAACACTTAAAAAAAAAAAAAAGAAAAAAAAAAGAAAAAAACCCAACCTTCTAAGCTTTTTTTCCCTTTTAAAAAGACAAAAAATAGTTTTGTCACTCCGTCAACAAGAAGCACATTCCTGCAGCCACCTCCCTCCCCACCCCTTTCTGAGCCACCTGTCCCCGTGCCCACGGCTGGCTTGGCACCCTCCCAGGAGCCATGGCACTGCCCCGAGCCCCAGCAGCCCCCTGCCCGGATCCAGGGGCATTCCCGGTAGGCAGCCCCTACCTGCTGTGCTCCAGAGCTTGCCGGGGGGCTGAGCACCTTCCCCGAGCACTTCCCCTTTCCTTCAGCAGGGCCCGGGGGGAAGCTGGAAGATGAGAACGTCAGGGGCAGGCGGGATTTGAGACCCAGAAATTGCTTGGCTCAGTTTGTTCTGTACAAGGGTGGAGAATATCCCAGGGAGCGCTCGGCACATGCCTTTCCCCGCTGTTGGAAAGTGGTTATGCTGTGCAGGGTTGTTTTTGTTGGGGTTTTTCCCCCCCTATTTTCAGTTCACACCGTTTAAAAGCTCTCCCAGCCACGTTGGGGCTGTGTTAGCTGAGGTTGGTACATTAATTTCAGCCTAACACACCTCACACCTCCATAAGGGAGAGGGCAGAAATCCTCAAAGTGCTGCCTGAGAGGATGAAGTGGTGAATCTGGGCCTGACATTGTAAATTATAAAATAAAAAAAATATTTTAAAAGTAATATTAATTATAAAACTAGAAATTATTAATTATAACAGCAAAGTGCCGCTGCCCATGTCCCTCCCTCATGGCTGAATTAGGTCCCTGTCCTGCCACAACACATACTTAACCCAGGCTGCTGAAGTCAACAGCCCCAGACGCTGGGGTAAGGTTACACCAGTGGTTCTGCTTCAGCTGGAGGGGAGACAAGTGAAGGCAGAGCCTGCCGCAGGGGCTGTCAGCTGTAAGGGACAGTCCCGAGCAAGGAAACCACAGGCAGATGACAACAGGCTCGAAAATACTCCCCAAGGAAACACCAGTGGTGTGCTTGCTGAGCAAACAGATCTCACACACTCAGGGGACTGAGCATGGAAGTCACATGTGAAAAATCACTGTAGTGTGTTCAAGAAGGAAATTAATATTTAAGGCTGAGCTGGAACTCCTCAGCCTTGGGCAACTCCACTTTTTAAGGCACTGTGGGCCTAATGTCCTATAAACTATTTATATGGAAAGAGCATGAGGTTGTACGGGGGGTGAAAAAATCCCAAATCTTCCCCCAAAAGCTCATGGTGGGGATATACTTCATACTTATGCAAGAGGGGAGAGCAGGTTTGTGCACTCAGGCTGGAGTTCCCCAGATTTCTGCCTCTCCAGACCATCACCCAGAGCCAGCAGCAATGCTGAGATGTTCGGGGTGTGGGGGAAACACCAAGAGGGCCAGGCTGGGCTGCTGGGGGGGCTCTGAGTGGCCAGTGACCCCGGGCAGGGAGGCTGACACTGTGTTTGGGCAGCCTTGGACTTTGCCACGCTGGGGAGCAGTGCCAGCTGATGTTGGGCAAGGAGAAAAACCCCAGCCCATCCGCTCTGGGAACATGAGGCTCTGCCCCTCATCGCCTCAGGGCTGCTCCCCACGTCAGGGTGGGTGATTCGGGCTGGGGCAGAGGGGCAGAGAAGCCCTCCTGACGTGTTTGATGTTGCAACCTTGCCCTTATCTTTTTATGGACTCCAGCCACTCCTTCTAAATCTGGGCTCTGCTCCTGTGTCCACTCCTTTTTTTCCAACTTTTTTGGTTTTTTGCCTAAACAGCCACCCAGCTCACGTGAGCTCCTCTTGTGAGGAGACCATGTGCCCTGGGAAAACCTGGGAAGCTGCAGCCAGCAGAGGAGAGCTTCATCCTGCCAGACCTCTTGGGTCCCTTCTTGGGGAAAAACTCTGTGGAAATGTCCCTGTGCCCTCCCACAGTGACCATGTTGGCCAATTCCTGCTCACAACCTTAGTTTTTTTCCTGGCAGAAACCATCACAGTCCCACTGAGGCCCGTCCAGAGCTGGATGAGCACCCAAGGAGCCACCCCACCCCCTGAGGATGCTACAGAGCATCTGCTCAGCTGCCAACTGGAAAATGTGTTCTTTTTTTAAAGTTTTGACCTTTCTCTGAGGATTTCAGGTGTGAGACAGCCACCACTCCAGTTCATTCCTTTCTCCCCCTCTCATCTCATGCAGAATCTTCATGGATCCATGATGGGAGCTGCTCCTCCCAGGGTGTTCCATAACTCCTTCCCACAGCTCTGCCTGCCACCACTGGGACGAGCGGGTGTTTTGTGGCTCACAGCTGCCCCTTCCCCGCATCAGTTGGGGTTTTGGCACAGTGACCAGCCCCGCAATGAGCCCGGAGCTGTCCCTGTACTCCCTGGCTCTGCCTGAGATGCAGAGCCCTGCTGCTGCTGCTGGAACAGCCTCGCATTCCTGGTTTGACAGCGCCACCTCGTGAGGTGGCCCCGCTGCTGGGGACACTCTGGGACACTGTCCTGCCCCCAGGTCTGGCACAAAGACCAGAGCAGGCTCAAACACCCACCTGGGGAGCAGATTCCTCCTCCTGCCAGGGGAGCGGGTCACTCCTGCTGCAGGACGGGCTCCTTCTTTTTCTCCTCCTTCTCCTCTTCCAGCTGGAGGGTCTCCAAGGCTGGGTCTCAGGCCCAGATCTGGTGAAGAAAGACAGCAGATAAGAAATGTGGGCTTGGTCTGTTTGGGGCAGATACGGTGGGGTCTCCTGTGAAATTCCCATCCCGAGCTGAGCAGATGGACTGACAGCGACCACACTGAGGTGCCACCAAGAACCTGCTCTGAAGGCAAGAAGTTTGCCCCAGCAGGGAGAGGGGAAGGGTTTTGTGGCATTGACATTCTCTGAAAAAATTCTTTTGTTTAAGATTTTTCTCTTGAGAAGCTAGGAATCTTAAAAAAAAAAAACCCTAATTCTTATTTTATTTGCTTCTCCTGTGTTGTGCTTATATGTAGAATGTGTTTGAAAATTGTTTACCCACAAGTGATTACTTCATTAGTCTCCAGTATAAGTTGTTTTAACTCATTAGCCAATCAGGGCCAAGCTGTGTTAAGACTCTAAAGAGTCACGAGTTTTCATTATTATCTTTTTAGCTTTCAGTAAGGATCTTTTCTATATTCTTTAGTTTAGTATAATAATCTTGAATATAATATAGTATCATAAAGTAATAAATTAACCTTCTAAAAACATAGAATCAAGTGCATCATTCCTGCCTTCGTTGGAGCAGTTTCCCAACAAATACAATAGGGTTTCATTTCAGGACTGCCCAAGTGTGTCTGCAGGGCTGGCAATTTAAAAAGTGACATTTCACAGCATCACAGGACGGGTAAGGTCAAAAGGAACCACCTGGTCCAGCACCTCAGCTCAAGCAGGGTTCCCTGAACCCAGTACTGAAGATTGTGCCCAGATGGTTCTTGAATGTCTCCACTAAGGGGGGATCCACAACCTCTCAGGGCAGAGAGGTTCCAGTGCTCAGTTACCATCACAGTGAAGAAGTTTTTCCTCATGTTCAGGTGGGAATTCCTCTGTTCCAATTTCTGCTCATCCCATCGCTGGGCACCACCGAGAACAGCCTGGCTTCCACCTTCTGGACATCCCCTCTTTCAGATCCTCTCTCAGCACTCTCCTCTGCAGGCTAAGCAGGCCTGGAGGGAGCTGCTGAGAGCCTCGTGGTCCCCAAAACCCCCAGGAGTCACCCAAACAAGCGTGTCACAATCAGGGTGGCACTTCGGAACCCAGCACCGGAACATCGCACCACCATGATGACTGCTGGTGAGTTCCCCTTTGCTGGGGCTTCAGCCCCTCTAAACACACCCCAAAAGGTGGAAAAATGGGGGAAAAAAGCAGTGTTAAGCCTTGAAATATAGGTCCTTCTTATAACACAACTGTGCCTTGATGGAAGAGGGCATTTCCAGGGGCACCCCCCACCAGGGGGATGATGCCAGCCCACCTTCTTGCATCCAGATCTTCCAGACATGAATAAAACTTGGCAGGGTGGTGGGAGGTGCTGGGCACTGCCACTTGCACTGAGTCCTGGGTGGATAAGCTGTGTCTGGGTACAGCTTGTGATCTCCCTTCTCCTGCCCTGTGGATGCCACCACATCTGCGCCCAGCCTCTGTGAACCTTTGCTGTTTGGGAGGCTGCCATTCAAACTGCCCAGCTCCTGCACGCTCCTGAACCTGGTGCTTTCCAAGCAGCCTGTGCCACCCATCCCCAAGCACGTTTCACACACTGCCCCAGCTCCAGATCCTCCCCCTGCATGAGCACAGGACAAGCTTTTACCACACATCCCCTAAACCTGATTTCCCTCCCAAAACTCCTCCTCTGGCTCACAGCTGGCAACACAAAGCTCAGGTAACTTTCTCTTCTCCCCCTGTAGCATCCATAGCCTCCACGGACATGGGGCTGCTGCTGCAAGATGATGTTTTTGTTGACTTTTTCAACATCTTTCTGAACCTTCCTGTAAGTGCACTCTGCACCATAAAACCTGGAGCCTTTCAGAGCTCTCCTCAGGTGAACTTTGTGTGGCATTAGAGGCCGCAGGAAAACTGGGAGTTCACCACATTCAGGCTGGAAAATGAGGGAAACCTGAGGATCTCAACTTGGAGATAAAGGGTCTAAAAGGGAATTTTATGCCCTTCTGTGTAGTGGGAACTAACTAGAGCACTGGGCTCCGGGCTCCTCTGCCACCCTTGATCCCTTTCAGCTCTCCTTTTCCGTTCTGGTGCAGGTTTTTGGGCAGACACCCCTTTACATCAGCGGCACGGGCCGGTGGTGCCTGTGGCCAGAGCTGCCGAGCCACCTGGTGAGAACATGCCCCTTGCTGGAAGGGAGGAGTGGGAGGAACAGGGAGGAAGGGCACAGGGCAGGGCAGGGCAGGAGCCGCTTTGCCACTGCCAGGGCCCCTCTCTGGCTCTCCTGGCCGTGCAGCTGGGCCATCATTTCAACCCCGGCCGTCGTTTCGCTTTTAAGCCCTGGGCGGAGCACGATCCATTTAAAGTCCTGCTGCAGTTTATGGGGTCTATCCATAAACACCGAGCGCTGGAGCGGAGGAGAGCATGTGTGGCGGCACAGAAGGACACAAACATCAGCCCCTTGTCCCGGATTCCTCCTGAATTCAACAGGAGCCAAGCCCTGCTGCTCACCGGGCTGGCTCAGCCCTCCCTCCCCACCCGTCCCCGTTCCCACAGCGCTCAGATCCCGAAGCAAAAAGGAACCCCCGCTCCTCCGGGGATCTGGGAAGGCTCTGGGAAGGCTCTGGGAAGGCGGGCGAGGAAGGGGGAGGCAGCCCTGCCGGCAGCCGTGCGGCGCCGGGGCTGCCACCTTCGTTTTGGGGACAGGCAGCGGCTGTAACTTGATTATCCCCCTTGTGCCACCATCGCCACAAAGCAACAGGGCGCCTTCCCCACCTCCTGCCCGGAGCAGGGAGCTGTTACTCACCCTAAATGCCAGGCAGCAGCCGGCTCCTCGCTCGCAGCTAATCCTCCCCTTGGGCAACGCAGGATGCCAGCCCCGCGGCTTTGCTGGCTTGGTTGGAAAAGCAGCGGCTGCCTCACTTCTGCAAATCCAGCCTGTGCCTGCACCTGGTGCTGTGCCAGAGGCTGCTGGCTTTCATTCGCTCGGGGGAAGCAGGTGAGTCATCGCGGCACGGAGGAAATCGGATCGGCTTCTCCTCCGCGCCCGGGCTTCCTCCCTCTGCGGGGCTGGCACTGCCCACTGGGTCGTGCCTCTGCTCCGGGCGAACCAGGCGTTGCACATCCCATTTTTAGGGGTGCAGAAGGTTCTGGCGGGATGTGCAGGGATTCACCCCACCACGCTGTTAATGCAGGCTGGCTAAGTAGCTGCCTGGCAGGGTTTGCCGAGGGGTGGAGCGGGGCTGGAGGGCATCGAGGGGCACGGGGAGCCGGTGTTTTGGGTTTGCTGCTGGGTAGGGATGCCCTGGGAAAACAGGCTGTGGTTTCTCTTACTGGCAACAACTCGAGGTTTTGCTCACTTTGCCCCTAAAATGAGCCTTCTCAGTCCAGCCAGGTTCTTCCTTCAGCCTGCCTGTCAACTGCCACTGGAAAGAAAGCTGTGGCAGCAGGAAGATTTTCCTTTCAGAAAAACAAGCAATTCACCAAGGCTTTTCCTGAGTATATTGCTGCTTCTTCTCCAGTCGGGTTGAAACTCAAAGCTGGAGGAAGTTGAGGGCGAGCCCCAAACTCAGGACAGCAAAGATGGGCATTTGCAAGGAAGAGAGGCACAAGAGCTGTCCCTGACAGGAGCAAGTTATCCTTGCAAACACCCCGTGTGCATCCCAGGGCCTGTCCGAAACTCCCAGTTCAGGGGGATTTGCTGGTCTCCCTCCAGCAGCCTCTTTCAGGGTGGGAGCTGGAGAGTTTCCTTGGGCTCTGGCAGGCAGCCCCTGATGCCATCTGTGCTCTGTGTCCCACAGCAGAGCTCCTGAACTGGCAGAGTGCTGACCAGTGGCTGCTGGAGAGGTGCATCAGCGGGAGCCAGGGCATGCAGCACTTCTGTGCCTTCCTCCGAGGAACAGCAGGTGGGCACAGGATGCTCCAGGGCACCCTCCCTGCCAGCCACGGGCCACCTGCCTGGCAAGAGGCTGGCACAGAGCTGGGGGCATGGGTAAGATGCCAGAGAAAGCTTTGGAAGGTGAGCCAGCAGCAGAGCTGGGAGGGAGATGCACAACCATGGTTTTCTCTGCTCTGTTACCTCGGTTCTGCTTCATCCACCCTCGGGGCTTTCAAGGGCTCCTCCCAGCTCCCATCCCTTGTCTGATCTGTAGGGGAAGAGCTGATCGACTTCTGGCTCATCACTGAAAGGCTCCTGGGTCTGGACGAGTCAGATGAGAGCCAGAGGGAGCTGTTCTTGTCCCTGGTGCACAGGCTGAGAGCCACTCACCTGCGTGAAGGCTCCAGCGTCATCACCTTCTGCACCACCATCGTGGGTAAGAGGAGCTGGGGATGGGCACTGCCCTCCCAGAGCGGGGATCTTTCCTGGCTGCTCCCAGGGGGATGGGATGCCATCCCCTGCCTGGGGAACAGCCTGCACAGAGCCATCTCCCTGTCATAATTCCCTGCATCCATCTCAGGATCTCTTCCGAAAGCCAAGCACATCCAGTCCATCAGCACCAGGAGGGAGATCCTAAGCGAGATGCAGGAACAGGTCCTTTTTATGATTCAGAGTTACTGGCTCCCTAAATTCTTTGTGCACTGCAAGATGGGAATGGAGGAAGAGGAATCGTGCTGGCCTTTGCTCCAGGAATATCAGGAACGTTTATCACGGGCTGGCTGGCAGCAGCCCCCAGGCCCTTCAGAGCCCCTCCCCACGATGCACATCAAAAGGAGCCAGGGTGTGCCAGGGCCCTACTGCAGCCAGAAGGCCAAAGCAGAGGTCTGGGCTCTGGTCAAGGAGGGCAGAGACACCCAAGAATTGAAAATGGCCACTTTTCGGGTGAAAAGTGCCGGGAGCAGGGAGGAATTGTGTCTGGATAAAGATGCTCTGGGATCGATTCCCCAGCAGTCACAGCATTCTGCCTTTGGAGGCAGAGGAGGAGCAGCATTTCCTGGCAGACCTCAGTCCAGTGCAGAGCAGGATGTAGAAAACGTCTGTCAGGAGAAAATCCTCTCTGACCTGCTTCCCTCTGCATCCCTTGTTCGGCTGCCATCCCTGAAAAAGCCAGTCAAGACCTTGGATTTCCTTTCCTGGGCTCTGAGTGCCGAGGCCTGTGCAGGAAGACCCTTCAGAGATTTCCTGCAGCACCAGAACCGGCCCATGGAGACTCATCTCCTGGACCTGTGGCAAGACCTGGAGGAGTTTCTGCCCGTGGTGCTGGACTCCAACAGAGAAAACAACTTTTTCCTGCGCCATTTGATTGGGGAAAAGATCTGCAAGACCTACCTGGAGGACAGCAGCATTGAGAAGCTCCCCTTGGAGTCCAGAACTCTTGTCAGTTTGTGGAACCATCTGATATGTGGAGAATTCTCCCCCTGGATATTCAGAACCCAGAAAGAGATTTGCGAGGTACTCAGGGGTGCTGGCAGCAGTCAGGCTGGGAGGTACAGCTGGCATTGGCACCCCTGTGGTGCTGTGAGGGCTGTGGGGATGTTTAGGAGGTGAATAATTTGGAAAATGAAGAGGAAAAGGGAGTAGGAAGGGAATAACTTGCAGTGGGCCAGGCCAGTGGAGAGGAGCATCCTCGCTGGTTTGCTGGGCAGCAGGGCAGGGCTGGGCAGCCATGGAACATCTCTGGTAACCCTGGCTAGGTGCGCACTGCAGGGGCAGTGGCCATCCTTTTGCACCCATCACTGCTTCCAGCACAACCCCAGTAAAACCCATTTAGAACCCCAGAGCCCTTCTGGGCAGCCCCATGGACCAAGCTGGATGTGCAGGTGTGTCCTGGGCATGTCAGCAAGTTGTGGCACCAGCACTGTGACCCTGCCTGAGGACAATCCCCCTTTGCTCCTCCTCAGGTGCTCTGTGGCCTCTATGAGGAATTTCTAGCTGCTGATGACAGGACATTCCTCCAGTTTATGGTAAGGGGGATCCCCTGGGGGGTGTGCAGGCTCCAGTGGGGGTGTGAAAAATTGGAGAGAAAGAGAGGGAGGGAGGAGAAGCCCAGCATTAGCTGGAGTGGTCTGGCACCCCACGATATCTCCACCCAGTGCTGCCACAGGGTGACACAGCATATCCTACCCTGCTCCAGCTGCCTGGAGCAATGATCCTCAGCTCTTCCAGCACAGCATCCCATTCAGCTGGCAGATCCTGGAGCAATGAACCTCAGCTCTTCCAGCACAGCATCCCATTCAGCTGGCAGCACTGCAGGCACAACCTGTGAGAGCTCTCCTGAGACAAGCTGTGACCCTGCCTAAAAGCTGGGAGAAACATAATTGCAGGCTTTTAGGCTAGGCACGGGTGAGCCCAGCACTTCTGGGAATTTATCTGCCCTTTTTTTCCTTGCCCACGCTATTAATGTGTAATTATTACTGCTATTAATGTGACTCATGTGCATGACACACGTGGGATGACCCTGCCCCAGCACCAGTGCCCAGCCAGCACAGGGGGAAGAGGCCATGCAGCCTTTTAGCCTATGACTCAACCACCCTCAAGTTTTCCACATTTTTTTTCCCACCAAAAAGAATTATATACGAAATCAGAGTCACACAAGCCCTCTTCCCAGATTATTATTCCTCTTGGCATCAGAAATCCCATAAAATGTCCCCAAATGCCAGCATTATACCCAGAAACCTCCTTGCAGGCAGAACCCCCTGAACATCCCACCTGCACAGGTACCTGCACAACCTGTGCAGGCAATTCTTCTCACTGCAGATGGTGTTTTCCAATTTCCAAAACAGTTTCAAACCAACTGTTTTCCAAAAAAAAAAAGTGAAATCAGCAGCTGATCCTGGGAATGATAAGGAGAGGCTGTCAGGGCTTGGTGTCCTCAAAGACCTGGCTCCCAGAGCCTCAGCCAGGGAGAGGCGAGCATTTTGGAAAAGTCAGCTGGCAGCTCCCAACTGCTCTTAGTGGGAAGTTAATTAGCTGCCCAGGTTTTTAAGCACCTCTTGTCGAGGAAATCTCCCCTCCGAGGCCAGAGCTGGTCTGTGAGTGCAATTAGCACTTCAGCAGGGTCGGGCCCTGCTCTCTGTGGGCACCATCCCCTGAGCCAAACTCCTCCCGGCGCTCCTGCTCCGGTGTCAGGGGAGCTGCTGGCAGCTTAGCAGGGTTATTTTTGGTGCCTGCTCTCAGCTCCCGGCCAGAAACCGGCCACTCTACCCCTGCTGCTTGGAGAGCTGTGCAAACAGTTTGTCTTTGGGGAGAGGCAAAACCTGCAGGAAGGTTTGGGGGAATGAGGGAGGCACTCCCAGCTGGAGCCAGCCCGGGTGACAACAGCCAACAAAAACAGCACACGAGGCTGCCAGGCTGCCAGGAACACCTTCAGGGTTGTTTCCAGCCCTCCTGGGGGGTGTTGAGCCCTTCAGGAAAGCTTCAAGGCCGTGTCTGGCCTACCTCTGGCTGCCTGTACATCCCAGGCAGCTTGAGCTGAGCTTTGTGCTCTCACAGATTCCTTCCAGACCGCTTAAAGCTCAGGCAGAGGTCTAAACCAGGCAGGTTTGTAGTCTGAGGTGCAGTAAAACATGTGGGTGATACAGGCTGACCTAGAACAGAGACTAGATGGAGCTAAAGAATAAGGTAGGGATTTATCAGGAGGCCTCAATGGATCCACCTTGGGCAACACAACCCAAAATGGCCACAAAATGGACAACTGGTCACGAGGTCTCTCACATTTATAAGTTCTGATCCATTTGCAGATTGGAGTTCATTGTCCCATTCCAGCTTTAGCCCATGCAGTCCCATCCTTCTTGTTTTTCTCTCTTCAGCCCACGTTGTTTGTGCTCTTGGGCTGAGATTTGGATCATTTGTCCTTGGTCCCCAGCTGGAGAAGGAATTGTTTTGTCTCCCTGCTCTGTGCAGAGAGCTCACCATCCCTTGATATGAAGCCCAGACCCACACACCAAAGCAGAATAGAATCTGAAAAATAAAAAGTTCAAACCTGAGGCGGGGAAGGTGCTCTGTGTCATCACCCTGCCCTGTTCTCCCCGCAGGCTCCAGGCATGGATGTCCCCACAGCCGAGGTGCCAGGCCGTGCTGCTGGCAGATGGGGACATTTCCACCTGTCCCAGAGGATGAACCAGTCCCTGCAGCTGAGCCAGGCCTTGCAAGGCACGAGGAGCTTGGGGGGAGTCTCCTCCAAGCACTGGCAACTGCTTGCTGCTCAGGACCTGCAGAAAGGGGGTTCCATCCAGGCAGAGATGGAGCTGCTCCTGGGCAGTGCTGGTAAGAGGGGGCTCTCCATTCCTGGTGGGGCTCACGTTGGCTGAAGCTATTAAAACATGTTTTATGCTCTGGTGGTAGCCCTGAACAGGTGATGGACATCACGGGGTGGGTTGGTACAGTGGGCCTGGGAGCCTTCATTTGTAATGAAAACTTTGGCAGCCTTTTTTTTTTTTTTCAGTCAAAATCAGTCAAAACTGTCCACTGGGATTTTAGACAAAGGCCAGATTCCCTCCTGCCAATACTGGGGGCACCAAATGCCACATCCCTGCACTGGCCTGGCTCACCAGATCAAATGAAAGCTGCAGCAAAGTGTCTGAAGCCAAAGCCAGCAGTGGCTCCTGCCACCCCAGGTCCACATTTTGCCCTTCTGAGGTTGCTGGGACTGGCCATGCTGGTGCTGCTGGTGTAACCCCTCAGCTTTGTTCTGTCATCAATCTTTTGGGAATGACACCCATTTTCTAGGCACCTGTGCTGCACTGAGGGTGACAGCAGTCATCTGTAGCTTGTGGGTCCTCAGTTTTACCCAAGAAATGCAGTGTCACGGGCAGATCATGGAGCAGGACACACAAGGGGACAGGGAAGGTGACAAAACCCAGCCCACAGAGCCAGTGCTGAAGGGCTGTTGTAAGCAGAGGTAATGGACATTGTCCCCTCTCCTCTCTCTGATGCAGAATTCCAGAGGATGATAGCAGATGAGCTGGCTGTGGGCAGCCCAAGCAAGGAAGAGGAGCTTCTGCAGCTCATGAGTGCAGCACTCGGTGAGTCCAGGCAGGAGGCCAGGTGGGCTCCCAGACATCCATCACCCCTGGGGAGCTTCTGCAGAAGGAAAGGCCTATCCACCCCCCACAGGCTGTGCTCTGGGGCATTAACCCAGCCAGGGAGGGTGGCAGTGGGGGATTTCTCTGAAGCAGATGCTGAGGAGGTCAAACCATGGGAGGTGAAGTATCGGTGATGCTGAGAGAGATGGGGAGAGTGTGAGGTGGTCATGGAATCCAATTTTATTGTGGACTACAAATGCTTATAGACTGTTTTAGGAAGGCTAGTAATGTTTTACTACAATGATTGGGTTAAAAATCAAAGTTTGTATAAACAAACTTATACATTTTAAACATCTCTTGCTTGTAGAAGTCTGATGTAATTTTCTTTTTCCAGTAAACCTGTCTGATTTAATCTTCTTGTAATCTTGATTTAATCCTCAAAGTTCTGTTTGCTCTTGCCAAGGCATCCTGTTACCAAATCCCTTAAGCTAGCAGGTCCAAAGTCCATCATGTGTCTTGTGTGTCCCGGTATCCCAGTAGTGAAGAGCTCCCACAGTGTCCCTGGGCCAGAGTCACCACAGAGACACCACGTGGAGGCTCCAGGATCCAGCTGTCTGCTGTCACCTCTGAGGAAGAGGCCAGCCCTGTTTCTGTCCCCACAGCTGTTGCATCTGAGAGGATTGCTCGGGAGAATGCTGCTGCTGCTGCTGCAAGGAAGAGGGCAGCTAGAAAACGCAGGTCTGGCGCCTCGCAGCACACAGCTTTGCTCCTTCCACTCTTCCAGGTTCTTCCCACTGCTTCCCTGTAGTGCCACTGCTCATTTGGCCCTCTCAGATGTAGGGTGGCCTGTGGGTCTGGACTGCAGAATTACCAGGGAAAGGAGAAAAATTAACACTCCCCACCCCCAGTTCAGATTTACTCTTCACACCTTGTGCAAATCTCGTGCACTTCATCCTCAGTCAACCCCAGAATGTCACCTGAGCAGTGCTTAGATTCCCAGAAAAATCACTTAAAATCACACTGTAGCTATACTTAAATTTCTGGACTCACATCTCACCTCCTGGGAATACTCCAGCCATGAGTCCTTGCACTGGGATATAAAACAAATGGAAAAATGATGCTGAGCACCTGGGCTGAGCTGATTTCTTCAGCCCAGTCGTGCAAATGCACCCTGCCCAACATCCATCCCACCCCAAGGGGCCAGACAGCAACTGCTATAAATGCATTTTTCTATGGCCCATCAGCATTGGTATTCCATCCAGAGCCTCACCCCAAACCTACCACATGGCTTCTGGGCCTGCAGGCTGCTGGACTGGAGGAGGAAACACTCCAGATAAGCAGCACAGACACTCCCAAGGCTACCACGTGCAAGAAGAGAGTCCAGGGGAGGGTATCTCGTGTCCCCTACCATTGTCCAACCTCCTCCAGGACCAGAAATCCAGTGGGACCCCAACCCTGGGGCTATCCCCTGTCAGCTGCTCCCCACCTTAGCCCCCCTTCCATCAAACCAGTGCCCTCCTCATGCCTCTGATGCTCTCTCTGTTCTCCCATCTGGCAGCTTTGAGGAGGAGGATGATGAGGATGATGAGGAAGATGAGGATGAGGAAGAGGAGGAAGGACCCTACTATCAGGAGAAGAAGAAGCAAAAACAGGCAGAGAAGCAGGAAAAGACAGAGAAGCAGAAAAAGACAGAGAAGCAGAAAAAGTCAGAGAAGGAGAAACAGACAGAGAAGCAGAAAAAGACAGAGAAGAAGAAAAAGACAGAAAAGCAGAAAAAGACAGAGAAGAAGAAAAAACAGAAGCAGAAGAGGAAGGAACAGCAGCAGCAGGAGGATTTGTTGCCCTGGAGCAAAAAGCCCAGGTCTAGGCGTCCTCAGCTTGTGAAGGAAGGGCCAGAGGACCTCAAGACACCGAGGATGGTAAGGAGGGACCCTGTGTGCTCCCAGGCTGAGGGTGTTCACCAGGCAAGGAAGAGAGGAGGTGCTGTGAGACAAGGATGCCACATAAATGGGGTGAGGGGGTCAGGCTTGCAGAGCTACAGAGAGGCAGCAGGGAAAGGCTCCCTCCTGCAGGCTCAGGACTGGCTGAGCAATTCACACCATCCCCTGTGGCCACCAGGGAAACTGAGAAATGCTGGAAAGCAGAGATGATGGCTGGCTCACAAATCCCACTGCCAAGGCTGCTGCGGCTCGCAGTGGTGGGTCCAAAGAGGAGGGCTCAGCCCCAGTGCTGCAGTCCCTGGCTGATGCCACCTGTGCTGTGTCCCTGCAGGGATGGGCCTGGGATGCCATCCGGGAGCTCGTCAGGAGCTTCTGCAAGTTCCAGAGGGACATGAAGAATCACACACGGCGTGCAGAATTTGAGGAGTTTCTCCGACAGGAGCGAAGAAACAAGAGGGAAAGTATGTCCAGTGTCCTGCCACCCCTGCTCCTCCCTCCCCAGGACACCCCTGGGTTTAGGTAGAGAAGAAAATGGAGAAAACCTGTTCCTTACCTCCCACCACCATGACTTAGTGCCCTGTTATGCTGCTGCATCTCTCTCAAACAATGTTGTATATGCAAGTTTTCATCCCTGCCTCAACAAAACAAAACAAAACAAAAAAACAACCATCCAAAACAGGAAACACTAAATGGAGCTAAGGTGAGACAGGCCAGAAAAACAAACAAGAGGAAATTGTTTTCTGGATAACAGGGAGCTGACCTGAACAGAAAGTTTACACACAGGTTTGAGAGGAGGCAGGAAAAGCAGTTAGAAAAGTAATCTACCAAACACACAGAAACCCTATTTAGATTAAGAAAAATTTGTATATGGGGGAAACAGATTTTTTCCCTTTCATTCTCACTGATTATCTCCTTGTGTCAGAGCCAGGGCCAACAGCTAGACAGACCAGCAGGCTTTAGCAACAGGCCATTCCCTATGGAAACAGTGGACATAAACACTCTGTGGGTGCAAAGAGGAGGGAAGGAGATCACCAAGCCAGAGGAAAGGTGTAGCTCACAGAGACAGAAAGGCCCCAGCAAATTGCATGCAGCTAAGGGAAGCGCAGGTGAGGTGAAGGAACAAACCCATGCTGGACAGCAGCACACAGAACCTCTTCCCCTGCCTCAGATTTGCCTGTCAAGGAGAAGAAGAGCAAAAGTCCTGCCAAGAGCCCCCGCAAGGACAAGGGCAAGGGCAAGGGGAAGGGCAAAGGGCAGGTGCAGAAGGTGACGCTGGTCAAACGCCGCATTTTGGACAAACAGCTCATCGTCGTCAGCTTCCTCGTCGACGACCTCCGCTTTTACCTGGAGATGGACAAGTGAGTTCTGCTTCCACCAGGTGCTCGGGCACCTCGTGGTACAGAATCCCAGAATGGTTGGGGTTGGAAGGGACCTTAAAGGTCATCACATTCCAGCTCCCTGCCTTGGGCAGGGATGTGTCTCTCTGGACAAGGTTGCTCAGAGCTCCATCCAGCTTGGTCTTGGCACCAGCCTGCCTTGGCTCTGGCCCAAACCCATCTCTGATGGAGAGCTCCAAAGCTCCCATTTCAGCCTGCAGTCACCCCCTGGATCTGGGTTCCTGTTTGAAATCCTTTTGGTTTGGTAGTCCCAAGCGATTCAGCATTTGGCTACAGCGTTCTAGATGTCCCAGTAGTGGTGGCATTTCTCCCCTGACTCTGTCCATGTACCCAACAAACCTCTAAGACCAATCCATGGCCAATGGGCACAAACCCTGCAGCCGACATCCCCACAACAAGAAAATCCCCATCTTTCAGTCCTCCCCTTTTCCCAAAAAAAGGGAACATATCCTGCCCCAAGTGAATCCTGTGACCACGAGGGTGGCAGAAGAGGTAGGTGGCTTTTCATACCTCCTGTGTCACTGCTCCACGGGACTGCTTTGAGAAGGGTGGCAGAAGAGGTAGGTGGTAGGTGGCTTTTCATACCTCCTGTGTCACTGCTCCACGGGACTGCTTTGAGAATTGAGGATTGAGGGTTGAGGATTGCTTTTCCTGGCCAAGCAAATACCAAATTGTCAGATAAAGCCCTTTTCTGACCCAGAGATGGGGCAACTGAGAGGCGTTTTAAAAACTTTTATTCCTTTTTCAGTCTCATGAGAAGGGTGAGACAATACAGATGTTATAATTCGCTCCATCATAATCAGATGCCAACTAATTCTTAATAACAATAATTGTCAGTGTTTGTTTGTTTCTTGGCCTATCAGCTTTAGCCACACCATGCTGTAAATTCCTTAAAGCCACACCATGCTGTAAATGCCTCATCTAAAATTACCCCTCGTGGGTCCCACTACAATGCATTTTTCATAGTTCCATTTCTCCAAAGTACTTAGTCTTTCTTGCAAGGCCAAAGGAATTTAAGAATTTTCTACAAATCCATTTCCCACACCAAGTTAAGCAAGAACAGGACTGTCTAGCCTAGCAGTTAAGGATCACTTGTCTCAGAGCAAGACCCCACATGCCTTTGCAGGTTTTCCAGGCTGGCTGACTGCCTGGAAGCTACGCCACCCTGCAACATGCAGTCAGAAAAGCACAGTTCCTTTCTCAAGAAGAAACTTGACGTCATCAGCAAAGTTTTCCTGAACTCTGACATCCCCCCCAAGCTGCGGGTGAGACCCCAGGACCTGCCCAGGAAGGCTGGAGGCTGCTCATTGCTCGAGGCCATGGCAGCACAGCTGGGAACAGTGGTGGGGAAAGGGAACAGGCAGGGGTCTGGATCTGCTGCAGGGGCTTTAGGGCTTCCACATGGGCTGGGAGGGGTGGGAAGCAAATCCCCCAGCAGGCCCTGATAAATTGAGAATAAGCATGTAGGTAAGGATGGGAGAGATGGGGATGTTTCTCCAGCATTACCTGCTGGAGCAATGCCAGGCCTGGACACCACCAGTCCAGTCCTTTCACTCCTCAGAGGCCGTGTCACCATCATCCCCTTCCACTGCACCCACCCCACCTCCTCCCAGTAGCTCTGCCATCTCCCCTTTGGAGGGCACAACGCTTCCCCCAGAAATCCAGGTGGGATCCTGCCCTTGTGCCTGGAATTGGGATGGAATTTGGGTCTCTGCTTAGAGACTGCTGAGGTGGGGTCGGGGAGAGAAACCTGGCCCCAGCAGGAGTGCTGCAAAGTGCTTTGGTCTCTTCTGTGCCCAGGTCAACATCTCTGAGAAGGAGAGGGATTTAATCTGGCGTTCATCTTCCAAGGGGCCGCTGACCCGGGCCATCTACCACAACGCCAAGGTCACCCTCTTCCCCATCCTGATGTACTTCTGGAGAAGGTACCCATCCATCCCCTCTCTGCCAAGGTGGAGGAGGGCCTGGGGATGCCACCCTTTATCTCCAGCCACTTGTTCCTCTGCCATGCTGAAAATGCAGACGCGATGCTCCCCAGGAGCTCAGCTGGAATTGTCTCCTTGGAGCTTCACTGTCCCCGGTGTTTCTCACGCAGGTTCTGCACCTGGAAGGTGATGAGGAGCTTTCGGGCCTACCAGCAGGTCATGAGCTCCAGCACCCATCAGGAGGAACAGAGCTTTCAGCTCACCAAGGAGGACAGGAGCTCCCGGGTCCAGCAGGAGAGGAGCTCTCAGCAGCCCAAGGGGACCAGGAGCTCCCAAATCCAGCAGGAGAGGAGCTCTCAGGAGCCCAAGGGGAGCAGGAGATCCCAGGTCCAACAGCAGGAGAGGAGCTCTCAGGAGCCCAAGGGGAGCAGGAGATCCCAGGTCCAACAGCAGGAGAGGAGCTCTCAGGAGCCCAAGGGAGGCAGGAGCTCCCGGGGCCGCAAGGAGGGCAGGGTTCCAGCCTCTTCACCTCCTGCAAAAAGCCCCTCCAAAGCACCCAAGACCTCCGGGCCCACGAAGATGGTGGCCATTCCCTCTACTACACATTATAGTCCAGGTTTGTTCTTCCAGTGCAGGAACACCCAGACCTGACATCTTTTAGGTTCCCCAGGAGCCCCCCCCCACCTTCACACAGCTTTGAGGGTGTATGTGGTGCAGGCCTGCTGGGAAAATGGAATGGAATTTTTTTTTTTTCCTGTCAAAATCAGTCAAAACTGTCCAGCGGGATTTTAGAAATTTTCTTTGGTGAATAGGGAAGTGAGCACAGGGACCTCCCATGCAAAGAGCTGTTGCATAATTCCTATTTATTTCAATAGCCCAGTTAAAAATAGTCAGGCACACCCCCTGAAACAGAAATAAAAACCCGCAATCTTTTGGGCTGCAAGTCAAATGGGAGCAGGAAAAGGAGAACAACTGTGCAGCCAAACACCAGGCATGCCATGGAGCGTGCTTTGAATATCTGCAGTGGAGAATGAGCTCCATCAGGGTTTGAGGTGACATCTCCAAGGAAAGAGATGTTTTTTCTTCCTCATCCCCTTGTTTAGTTTTGATACACTGAATAACTCTAAACTGGAAAACACAAATTGATGCTGAGCGCTGTCAGTCTGCCTGACAGCCAGCTCCTTGGCTTGAATATTCATTTGGAAATTGTCTAATTGATTTTTGATTAAAGGGGAAACCAAAATAGGCACATCCTAATCTTGCTTTGACGGATGAGTGGGCGTCAGCAAGCTGCTGTTCTGCTCCCTGTCATTTATCACTGTCAAGTTCTGGCTAAAAAGCAGCAGAGTTCGAGGATTTGGATGCCTCCAGGCAGGTGCTTGAGCTCCTGCTCCACAGCAGGGCTGAGGTGACAGAGCCCTGTGCCCCAGGAATGCCAAGCCATGTCCTCAGCTCCCACCACTTCACCCCTTGGCTATTCCCATGGACAACATCCAGTCTCCAGCTTGGGTCTCCACCTTGTTACAGAGGTCTTCCAGGACCTTCTCAAACGTAGTTGTTTTAATGCAAAAGTCACAAAAAAAAACCCTAGAAAAGCCTCATGTATCACACATGTATTCCAGGACAAGGACAGTGTTTTCCAGGCTCTTCAGGGAGCAGAGAGAGTGACCCCCAGAAAAACCTCATGTATCACACATGTATTCCAAGCTGGTGATAAGCCAGAAACCTTGTGTTTCAGTGCAGTTATCCAGGACAAGGACAGTGTTTGCCAGGCTCTTCAGGGAGCAGAGAGAGTGACATTCAAACCGATTCAGATCAGAGATAGGAAGTCGTTTTTCACACTAGAGGGTGGTAAAACACCGGTATAGTTGTCCAGAGAAGCTGTGCAGCCCCATCCCTGGGAATATTCAGGATCAGGCTGGATGGGGCTCTGAGCAGCCTGGTCTAGTGGAAGGTGTTGGGGCTGCACTAGGTGGCCTTGAAAGGTCCCTTCCAACACAAATTATTCTGTGTTTAAATCGGTGCAAACTGCTGCAAGGCTTGGGGCAGTCCCAAGCAGCAGAGCCCGTGTTTAACTACAGCCACAGAGAGTGACTGCACTGGGAGCTGCTCTGGACTCATGGAGAAGACTCTGATCTCTCCAGAATGGACATTATTCCCACAGGGACTGTCCCTGGGACAACACTCCCCAAGCGACCTCTCCTTGCTGCATCTCACAGGGATGAGTGAGACATGGGGTCAGAAAAAACAGGAACATTTTTAACGGGAGCCAGGCAGGAAAAAAATCCCTCAGTTTGCCTGGCATGTGGGGGACAAGATGTGTGACCCAAAATAGCTGCTGTTTCTGATTGTGCTGATGTCCACTCCAGCTCCCAAGACACTTTTGTGCACCTTATGCTTCCACCAAGGACCTTTCTCTAAGGGTCTTGCTTTTCTAACCTTTAGGTAAAAACTTGCTTTTGACCTGTCAGGGAAAAAAATTGTTTGTTGCCTTTTAAAAAGCACCAAAATTGCTGAGGAAAACACCTGTAAATGCAGAAAAAAACCTCCTCTCCTCCTCTTTTATTGTGAGGGATGTGCAGACGTGGTTTGAGCAGGGCTGGGTGCTGGCAGGCAGGGACCCATCTGCCATCACCAGGCGTCACTGTCCACAGGGCACAGGCTGCCCAGGCAGGCACAAAGCCTGGCACACCTTTCTTTTTCTAGAAAAAAAAAAAAAATCCAGTTTGTTTTCTCAATCATCCATTAATGTGGTTTAGAATGCTTCAGCTTGGCAGGTGAGAAATGCATAAGCTGAATTAGTAGCGAGTATCCAAAGAAATTTGAGGACAAACCTCCTAATGAGCCTGCAGAATGCTTCAGCTTGGTAAGTGAGAAATGCATAAGCTGAATTAGTAAAGTCCAAAGAAATTTGAGGACAAACCTCCTAATGAGCCTGTATTTAAAAAAAAATAATTAAAAAATCTCCCATTTCTGCCACCCTGTCTTGCCACAGAGCCAGGGTGGGACATGTCACCCCCAAACTGTTTTGCCATCAAGATCTCAAGTCCTTGCTCAGCCACCCTTCCTTGAGCTCTGGGTAACCTCAAATGATTGGAGGGGGACACCAGTGCTGTCCCCCCTCTTTTGCCACCAGAGCACTCCATGTCTCTTCCCTCCCCAGGTAAAAAGGCTGTCCTTACCTACACGCTGTCAGAAGGCCTCGAGTTCCTGCTGCCACGGCCACCAAAGAAAACTGAGCCTCCAGAGGAGAAAAAAGGTGAGGAAGCACTGAATGGAGCTGAATGTGGCACTGGATGGAGAGCCCCTGCTCCTGAGGGCTGTGGGCACGGGAGCTGGGCTGGAGGGCTCCCTGCAGCAGCCCTGGTGAGAACTTTGTTGTTCTTTGTTGCTGATGTGCTGTTGTTCCCCTCAGCTGCAGATCCCAGTGGGGAGAAGAGGCCCTCGCTCAGTGAGCCTGCCCCACAGGCTGGGTAGGTGGTGCCAGGGGTGCTCACCTCCTGCAGACCCCACCAGCACAGCCTGTGGCTCCCTTAAATCACAGGGGTTGGTGCAGGATGCTGGGCAGCCCCAGCATCTCCAGTGACAGTCACAGAAACTCCCAGCTGCTGCACGTCTCCGTGCCTAGAATGCATCCCTGGGAGCATCCCTGATCCCTCTCCATGGCCAGACTCCTCCCTGGGAGCATCCCTGATCCCTCTCCATGCTCAGAACTCCTCCCTCGGAGTATCCCTGATCCCTCTCCATGCCCAGAACTCCTCCTTAGGAGCACACAGCCATGTGCTCAACCCTGCTCACCCTTTCCATGCCCAGAACTCCACCCTGGGACCATCCCTGATCCCTCTCCATGCCCAGAACTCCTCCCTGGGAACATCCCTGATCCCTCTCCATGCCCAGAACTCCTCCTTAGGAGCACACAGCCATGTGCTCAACCCTGCTCACCCTTTCCATGCCCAGAATTCCTTCCTGGGTGCCTCCCTAATCCCCCTCCATGCCCAGAACTCCTCCTTAGGAACATCCCTAATCCCTTTCCATGCCCAGAACTCCTCCCTGGGAGCCTCCCTGCTCCCTCTCCATGCCCAGAACCCCTCCCTGGGCACACACAGCCCTGTGCTGGTCCCTGATCACCCCCACCTGCCTTCAGCACCAGCAGCCACTGATGCAGCACCTCTCCCTTCCCTGCAGGACCTAAGGGAAGCTCAGCCCTCCCAAAACAACACCCACACAGGTGTGATCCAAGGAAGCTGAGCAGCCTGGACATCGGGAATTGCTTGCACTCAGCAATAAGAAACCTAAAAATAAAACAACTCACAGCACCCTCCAGCTTTCCTGGTGACAGCGCAGCAGCTCACAGCTCACAGCCAGGGCAGGGATGTGCTGTGATCCCTGTTTCCAGCTGAAACACCACACAAATCTCCTTCCTCACATGCATCTGTGACATGCAGCTCCTCAGCTTTCCACACAAATGAAATTCTTCCTGTGGGTATCAAGGCTGAGAGAGCCCATTTGGTTCACTTATTCAGCTGGCTGCTGAGATGGGGCCTGTTTTGCCAAAGCCTTTCTGATTTTCCAGCAAAAATCAGCTCATGCCTGACTGGGCTTCAGCATGCTTTTTTTTGGTGAGGTTTTGGTTTTTTGTTGGTTGTTTTTAAGCCAGTGTGTGTTTACAAAGCACTAACCAAATCATAGCAAGGGCCTTCATTTTCCCCAGGTGAAACTGAGTCAAAGTGACTTTGCCAAATCACCAGGAAGCTGCAGAAACCACAAATATTCTTTGGGCCTTGTGAAGAAAAGACCTTTATCAGTTTGTCAGAGGCAAGCTCTCAGCTTTGTCATTTTGAGCTATTTTTATCCACTTTTTAATCCCAGATCCTAGAAGAATGCATCCTGGGAATAACACCAGGTACATTTTAAGGCAGAGGACAACATGTTTCATATTTATCAGTTCTGATTATCAACACTTTGCCTCTGGAGGATCAAAAACACCCAAACCCAAGAACATTTATTTAACTGAAGGGCCTGGGAAGCTGATACCATTCCTACAACACAAAATGTGACCAACTCTCAGAACTGCTGTTCCGGAAGTTGATTTTGCCCCGAAAGCTTTCAGCCTCAAAACCTTGCTGTGTTTTTGTGTGCTTTTCACCAACACTCCCGAGCCCAGCTGAGCCCAGGCTCTCTAAAGCTTCACAGATGTGCCTGAAGCTCAGAACAGCAAAACCAAAGCCTAAGAACAGCCTTCACTCCACTGCTTCTGCGGGTTGCTTTGTGGGTTTGTTTTTCAGAGCAGCAGATGAGCCACGGGGAGCTGGGAGCATCCCTGTGCACACAAGCATGTACATCCTCAGCATGCAAGAGCCAGGACAGGGAGCACCTGATCCCATCACTGGGCTCAGCCAGCTGTCCTGGGGAGCCCCAGCAGAGCAAAAAGGCAGAGGCACAGCAAATGCAGGCAGGACAGCAGGGCAATGAAGCATGTGGGGTCAAATCACACCCCTGGGCACCGTTCATGGGCTGCAAACCTGCCTGAGGCAAAGGCAGCACCTCCCAGGGGGGCACTGCTGCTGGGACATCCCACAGCACTAATTTTGGCAGCTGGTTCTGCCCCCAGCTCCCCAGGACACCTCTGTCCTCAGGCTGTGCCCCAGACACTGCCACGCCACCAGCTGCAGCACTGCCCAGCAGTTTTCCGTCCTGCCTGGTGTCTCACTGGCCCGTCCTCCTGGGAGAGGCAGTGTAAGAGCCTAAATGACAGATGCAGGACTCCAGGCGGCTCTTCCAAAACGCAGTTTATTACATGCAAGATGTTACAGCAGTCCAGGGTCGTGGGTGACAGAGCCAGGCCTGGGGACCCTTAGTTTAGGTTACAAATGCATTATATACTTTTCTTTGAACAACAGCCTTGCTCCCAGTCCTGCATTCCTTCCTCCCATGGGCCATGTGTGAAAAAATCCATAGCCCTGCCCTGGAATGAAAACCCCTCAAGCCATAACCACCTCTGTTAGGGTGAGGAAAAAGGCTTCTCCCAGCATGCCTTGCTGTGACATGCAGATTAACTGTATCTCATTGGCTCTTCCACCCCTGTGCCTTCATCCCATTGGCCCTGCTGGTCTGCCCCGCCCCTCAAAATCCATATATAAACCCCTGCTTTTCCTTTTGGAGTGGCTCTTCATTCCTGTGCTCTTTTCATGAAGAAAGTCAATAAAGATGAAGAAGCTCAATAAAGCTCTCATTGGAGCCCACAAAGAGCTGAAGTGACCCAGCGTGAGCACAGATGTGTCTGTGCCCCCGAGGTGTGTTTTTCAAGATGCTTTTTTGGGGAAGGCTATGGCACCGATGCTCCAGGAGCAGCCTGCTCTGCTGATGCTGTGCACTGATCAGGTTTCTTCTCTGACACCAGGACAGAGCACAGGAGCTATCCCTGGAAATTATTCCCAGCAGCCAGATCACCCCAGAGAGATAAGTCCCAGCCTGGCTGGGTTTAATCACTGCTGTTTTGAGGCTGCCTGCTGTGGAACAGCAGGAACAACAAAAACTTGTGCCAACTCTTTGTGCCTCCCCAGCCAGGGATGCCCTTTTGCACCTGCCTGCTGCCACAGCAGGATTCTCCCCACGATGACATGGGGACAGGAATGGAATCACCAAATCCCTTCAAAGATAGCTCAGGTGCTGTTCTTGAAGGGCTTTAGTTGGGGATGGATTCTACATAGGACCAAAATAAAGATGTCCCACAAGGGAAAATTCTGATCAAAACAGAGCCCTGACATTATTTCTTCATACTGGGACAATATGCAGTGATGTTTAAAGGATGTTAATGAAATATTTGCATGGATCTCTTTTAAATACAGCGTATTTTGTAGATGACAATGACAAAAAGAATTCATAATAGAAAACTCACTCATTTCTCACCATTAAGGAAGGTGCCTCAGCCACAGTGCAGGCTCATATGCCTATCCTGACCCAGCCCTTCAGTGGATTAGCAGTGATGGAAGTTGCAAAGGTCACAGAAAGCAGGAAATGTGGCATTTTACAGGAGGCTGGAGGAGCCCAGCCCGTGGCCTCACTTCTCTTCATGCAAGAGCAGAAATGCTGCCATGGCACAGGGCACCCCATAGCGCCCTGCTCCCCCCACTGCTGAGACCTGAGCACGCATCTCTGGGTGTCCTCCTGCCTTCTGGGCATGAGAAACACACAGTGAGCAAGAAAACAAAAAAAGAGCAGGGAGGAAAGGTAAAAAACCCAAAAATATGGGTGCAAGAGGAGCCAGCATTCTCCAGGTTGCATTTTCCCATCATCAGTTGTGCAGTCATACTTCCATAATGTATTTGAAATGTTCCCAGGACCCTCAGAAGGACCTTTGCTCCAAGGCAGGAGCACTGATGCAGCTGGTGCTTTGACAGTGCTGCAGAACTTCTCTTCATGTGCAGAGGGGATGGGGGAACCTGGTTCCTAAAGGAGCATAGAGTCAGTTTTCTGTTCAAGTTTATTTCAAGTTTGTTTGTCCATGAGGTCATTGAAAGAATAACAGTTGGGGGGGAACCACACAAAAAACAAACAAACAACAACAAAAAAAACAACAAAGAAAAAAAAAGAAAAAAAAAACAACAAAAAACCCAACTTTTTCAACACCTGAAAAATATTTCCATAATCAACATATAATCACAGTGCAAATCAGAGCATCCAAAGCTCATGGCTGTTACACCAAACTCTTTGCAATCTTTCCTAATTTAAGCCCTCCATACTCTGTCCCTGGGCGTGCTTTATCCCAACTCCTTCCCACCTCTTCAGCTCTTTTGCAGGTGAATAAGTAAGAAATAAAAGGAGTGATGGTGGGACCAGACATGGCACAGGAGGCAGTGACATCCTACAGAGAAGGGTCCTGGAAGTCTGCGAGGTGGCTGCAGGTGGGGTTCTGCCGTAAGCTGTTGTACACATAGGTGGTAAGTTCTGGGAAAACCCCCAGGAAATACTCAGCATAGTCTCCTATTTTCTTGGTGATCCTGAAAGAGAACAAAAGCAAACAGGGTTTTTTAAGCTTGTCCAAAGGGTCAATATTCTAGGATGCCCTTGCAGAGAAAAAACCATTCCAGAGAGGCTTTCTGATAACTTGGAGAGGTTTCCTAGAAACCCCAGAGCTGCAACTTTTCTACTCCTCAATCTTTTTTTTCTTTTTGTTTTTCCCTTTTTTTTGGCTATTCCTCCAGCACCTCCATCTACCTTTCATCTTGAGAAGATCTCTCAAGCACGTGGTTGGGATTCTTTGGCTTGTCCTGGGCAAAGACAGGACTTGATGATCCTTGTGAGTCCTCTCCAGCTCAGGATACTCTCTGACTATGGCAGGGGCAAGGGTGAGAACACTTACCCTTCATCTTTGTGTTCATCCATGTTTCTCATGAGCCTCAGGAGATCGGTGACATCATTTGTGTATTTGTATGTTTTGGTATGTTTTGCATTCCTGGGATTTTCCATAACATGTAAAACATCTTTGTCAATCTGAAAGAAAGCACACAGATTATTCCCTGCCTTTCACACCCCACAAAAACCAATAGAATCTGAAGGTTTGCCAGCCAATTCAAGAATGACCAACCCCTTTTACCACCCCAGTTAGCAGAGATCCCTTTAGCATCAACATCTTCTGACTATGTGCCTTCGACTGAATTGTTTTTTCCAGTTGTCTGTATTTTGTGTGGGGCTACTTTTTCCAGTTCCATTTTTAAACACTCAGAAAATCTTCTGCCTGAATGTCTAGCTCAAACCTGAAACCAATCCACATTGAAGAGGATTACCATTTTGGTCCACTGTGGATAAGGAAAAGTGACATTAGGATCTTGAAAAATACTTTTTCTTTTTCGGTCATACTTGATTTTATTCCATATACTCTTCAGGAAGTTGAACCTGCTGTGGGATGAGAAGTACCATTAGCTGCAGTGGGACCTAACTGTTCCCAGCACTACAGTCAATTCCACCAGAATTCCACCTCCTTTGTACTCCCAGGCCTTACCTCTGATTGCTCCAGAAATAGGGGTGTTTGCTCAACCCTTCCAAGCCTCGTTCATCAGGAGAGAACAGGCTTTGTACAAGGTCCCGAGCCTCTGTGTAATCTGGGGAGTTGGAAGCCAAATCCTCAATTCCAACTTGCTGCAGGGGTTTCCTACCGTCTGTTAAAACGTGGAGCACGAGCCTGCCCAGGGCCTGCAAAGAGACATTTGCAGCCACCCAGCCTCCAGCCCAAAGGAAGAGGACTCGTATCCCCAAACCCCGCAGGGGCCCAGAAGTGTAAAATACACACCTGATGGAACCCTGGTTACTGAGGATTTTAGATTTTCTGTGCTGACAGGCACTGACCCCCAAGAGAACACTGCATTTTACCTGAGGCCCTGGAGAAGGATTCCAGAATGGAATGATAGAACTGGGATTGTGGGTGTGGAGTTTGATTAAAAGTGTATAATATCACATGGTGGAAAACTTAGAGTTTAAGGTTTTAAACTATAGTAATATCTATAAAGCAAGATGGAGGTTTTAGGGCAGAGGCTGGTCCTTCTTCACCTTCTTCTCCATGGGTTTGGGTGGTTTTGTGTAATTGGATAAAAAAGTCCACATTGCAGGCCATGGGTGGTTGGGTTAAAGTAAAAATAATTCAGGTGTCACTTCTTAATTGGACAGTTTATCCATAAAAGGCCTTGTAGAGAGAGAGACAGGGCTCCATTTTGAGTTTGTTAGAGTGAAGTGCTGTAGAGCTCAGGGTTTGTGAGACTGACATGGATAAGAACTAACATCTGAGTCCAAACAAGAAACATCACACATTTCATCCCAACCCTGCCAAAAAGAAGTTAAGACTCGACACATACCCAACACAAACCTCAAAGCTGTGTGCACAAGGACAGAGGAGATGGGCATCCAAATCAACATCCCTCTTATGCAACATCTGTCACTACACTGATTTCTCCACAAATCAAAGCATTTTCTAGTTGGGGATGCAAAAAGCCTTTTCCTAGGACCCACAGCTGCAGAGCACCCAACATTTTAAACCATAGGCTGGTTCACAGAGAGCTTACCTGTAAGTCTGACTTTACAAGTTCTTCTTGGCCTTCAATTGACCTTCTTTTACTACCAAAGTCCGCCAAGTAAATTTTGCCACCTAAATCTGGGGAAATAAGAGAAAGTGTTAGCAAATAAAAGTGGCAAACCTTCATATGGTCCATTGCTGACTTCTGGATGGCCCCTTCTTTAAAAACCAGTTCTCTGGAGGCACCTGTGGTGGGTTGGTTTGCCTGCAGAGCCCTGGAGAGGCGGGCAGAGCTAAAGGGAGCTTGTTCTCTCTTTGAACCTATCTGTACTTATTTAAAGAGGAGATCTAAACCCCCCCATTGAGCACAAAGCTTTTACAGACAGCTGTGGGACACCTTCTCTAAACTTCGGGGAGAGCAAAATGAAAACATAAGGAAAGCAAAACATAACCAATTACAACGTTCCCGGGCTGTAGATCCTGGTGAGCAAATCCGAGGGAGTGCAGCTCTCTCAGTGCCTGGAAGATGATCTTCAGAGCAGCTTTGTAATCCTTCTGGCCTTCAGGGTCCTGCAGGTGCTCCTGGAGGTTTTTCTCCCAGAGTGGGAAGCACAAGTACATGCAGCCTTTTTTCTTCTCGGACTGGAAGAGCTTCAGTAGATGCTCGCTGTGAGAACATTTTTCAAGGAACTCTTTCTCTTTCTCACCCTCTGTGCTGCGGGTTATTTGCACTGCCACCTCTGTCCCTCCGTGGAGCCCAAGGTAGATGCCATCCTGAATTTTCTGCTGGATGTATGGGAATGTCTTCAGTTTGCCGATCATGGGGCGATACATTTGATCAAGTTTTTTCAGCTGGGCCCTCCAGCGTTTGCTGTTTGGCTCCCACGCTCTGGGGGTCTCTGGGACGAGCCTGACCTTGTGCTCACGAAGAAGGTTTTCCATGCTGCGAGAACGATTGTTCCTTGCAACCTCCATCAGGTTCCCATGGTCAGTCCTCGCTCCCTTTTCGCACAACAACTTTGCTATTCCGCAATTATCTTCCTTCACAGCCACCATCAGGGCTGTGTTGCCTTCCTCATCTGCATCATCAATGTCTATCTCATCCTTCTCCAACAAAGCTGTCACCAGCTCCAGGCTCTCCATTTCAACAGCCAGGATGAGGGCAGTTTTCCCACATTCATCTTTGCTCTTCACATCCACACCGTGCTCCAGCAGGAAATGAACTATGGGCACAGGTGACTCATCACTTCTTTTATCTGAATCCTTCTTTAGGGCGTGGATCAGGGCGTTCCTGTCTCTGTTGTCACGGATGTTCACATCAGCCCCCATCTCCTGGACCAGGATTTTCACAGCTGAGAAGTGGCACTGCCTGCAAGCGTCCATCAGCGCTGTGGCACCTCCTTTGTGCAGCTTGGCTCTCTCCTCACTGGCCTCCCTCCTCAAATTCACCTTTGCCCCTCTGCTGTGGAGGAATCTCAAGGCTTCGTCCTCCCCATACCACGCAGCCTCCATGAAGGCTGTGAAGCCGTTGTTGTCCTGCTCGTTGATGTCTGAGCCAAGCTCCAGGAGGAGCTTCAGGATCTCCACGTTCCCTGCGGTCCCTGCCTCAGTAAAGGCAGTGCCACCATTGTCCTTCCTGGCGTGCACAGAAGCTCCCCTGGCCAGCAGAAGCCGGACCAGCTCCTCATCATTGTTTCTCACTGCAGTCTGCAGGGGTGTCCAGCCATGTTCTACCTTGGAATTCACATCTGCCCCTTGCTCCAGCAGCTCCAGCACAGCTTCTTTGTCCTTGTCGTACACAGCGTCATTTAACTTTGAGTTAAGGACTTCTGATTCATTCATTCTGGGAGGGGAGGAGGCCTTCTTCTGGTTGTGAGCTGGGAGCTCCAAGGTGGTCAGAGGGAGGGCTCTGGGTTCACCACCAGAACCCAGGGCTCCACAGAAGGATGGGGGATCTGCAGTGCTCAGTGCCTTTGGAGTGGGGGGTGTGCCAGGCGTGGCCCATGAAACACATTAGGGGCACTTTTGAGGGCTCTGTGGTCTTCACCTGATCAATGAACAGAAAATACTGTTTCATTAGCCTGTGGAACCTCACCATTTACACTCCATGTGTCCTGTGTGAGGGGCAGCTGAGGACAGTGTGCCAGTGCCAGCTGGGAGAGCCAAGGCCTGGGGAGAAGCACAGCTCTGGCACTCATGGATCCTTGTTTCCTTGCCTGGCCCAGCCCCTCTCACGGCCCAGGGAGGTGTCCCTGCTGCTTTTGCTGTGAATGTCACCTCAGACTCGTCCCAGGTTACCTGATAAGCCATCAGTGTCAGATGGAGGTGGGCATTCCCCTTCACTTTTGGATGGCAACCAAACACAGTCCTGACTGCCTCTGATCCAACACCTGGAACGAGACAGAAATCCTTAATCCCTCCTGCTTCTACAGGCCATGAGGAGACCCTACCTGACAGGAACCTCTCCTAAACTTTTCACCACGTTAGGAAATTGATCAGGTAGGACTTAATTTGCCTTTATCTATCTGGTATCTGGAAAAAGTGGGGCCCCAATACCCATTTTCTGTTCAGCACTTTCAGGAGCTACTCCCTGACAAGCTGAACTGGAAATAAATTACCTAAGTAAATCAGGAAAGGGATAGAGAAGCCTTAAGGTATAAAAGAAAAGTATAAATGTACATGAATTTACCCTCAGGAAAGCCAAAGATTGGTTTTTGGATGGTTTATTCCCCACCCCACCACCCGCCCCAAGCAAGAAATAACAAATACCGCATTTCATTTATTTCAATGCATTTCATTTCCTTGCGTTAATTTCTATACAATTTGCCACACAGGGCCAGAACAGCAGCACAGCTTCCTCTGGGCACGGAGGGGCTCAAGTTCCTCACCCCTGTCAGGACAGCAGAACCCTGGCGAGGAGGAAGAGAGAGACTGAGCACCTTCCTCTTCCTCCGAGCAGCAGAGTGACAAGATCTGCGCTCCAGGAAGTGTGTATATATTTCTGTCCCCGCCCCACTGACTTTTGACCATGCCTGCATGTCCCTGTGTGTCACCCAGCCCTGCCTGCTGCCACCCACAGTGACACAGTCCTGAGATATGTGCTGGCTCCTGCCAGGAGGGAAGGTTTTATCCACCTGCAGGAGGATGCTGGGGTTCTGGGGGAGGTGTTTGGTGCCTTTTTTTCAGCATGCAGCATGAGCAAAGTGCTCTCCCCCTGCACCCAGACCCTGCTCAGAAATATCTGCTCAGCAGTGCTTCAGGAGCTGGAGGTCTGCAGGCACTGAACGCATCAGGGCTGTGGAGTGGGGAGACATCTGGGGTTTCATTTTAAGCTTTTCCTCACCTTTTTGGTACATCCATCCACGTGAGGGGACTAAATGCTGCTCAATTACACCCAGGGAATCGCTGAGCTGCAGATGTGTGGGCTCCTCCCTGGCACCACCCTGGCACCCTGCCCCTTGGAGGCAGCGCTGGATGAACACCCAGCCTGCTCCTCCAGGCCCTCCCTATCAGCCTGGAAAGCCTGTGCAGGAAATGCACAGGAGGAGCCCAGGCTGTGATGGCCCAGCCAGTTTCCTTCCCTGCCCTGTGACGTGGGATGAGCTCAGCAGAGCCCGTGCAGACGCCCCCACTGCGCTGTGCCAGCAGCAGGATGCAGCTCACGGCTGAAACGGGGCTGGGATTGCATCCATCCAATCATTCCTGGCTTTCCCTGCTGCCTGGGCACGTGCACAAGCTGGGAATCTGTCTATGGACACAGAGACATTGTGAAAAATATGTATTTTATGATTGGTTTTTCACAAATATTAAAATGAATATTATGTGTGTTAGGTTAGAAAGTTGTGCTGTATTAATTTTCCTAAGTAGTGTGTTAAATATAGTTTTAGGTTGTGGACACAGAGACATTGTGAAAAATGTGTATTTTATGATTGGTTTTTCGCAAATATTAAAATGAATATTATGTGTGTTAGGTTAGAAAGTTGTGCTGTATTAATTTTCTTAAGTAGTGTGTTAAATATAGTTTTAGGTTGTAACATAATGTTAAAATAGAAACTATGCTATGTAAGATACTTTTATTAAAGAAAGGACTCACACAGAGCTAGCAGCCACAGGACACCTAAATCTTTCAGAGAAAGAGAATTTATTGTTCTTTTATCAGAAGAAACAAACTTCTTCCTACATCACTGAGCCCTGAAGACGCCATTAGGATTAAGAGGAAGAAGTTTACACTGACCAGCCAGAATCCTTTGTTTGAATAGAATTTATGCATCATGTATGAGATTAATGAATATGCAACAGGCTGTTGTTTTTAAGGGTTAATCCTCTGTTAACATGGGTCCTTTTTTAGGTTTATTTTGCCCAGAAAGAGGTACCTGGACTGCCCATAACTCTTTGTTTTTATTGTCTCGTATTGTCCTAATATCAATTGTTCAAATTTTTATTACTCTAATTATATTACTATTTTTTTTACTATTAAACTTTTAAAATTTTAAAAACAAGTGATTGGCGTTTTTTACACATGGCCTGATACGATACAGGCACAAGGGCTGGGAAAAGCCCTTAAAGGGCAGGGTGGATGCAGGGTGGACTTTGTCTGGCTGGGGAAGAGCTTTTAAGGTAGATAACAACTTTTGGATTAAAATTTGGCGCTTCTGCCATTTGAATTTTGCAAAGCTCAATCAAGGTAATCTTTTATTAAAGATAAATAGATAATTACAAGGTCTTGGCTTGTTATAGTCAGCAATCTCGTTTTGGCTCTGATTATAATTTGAGTTATTATCATCTCTATAATTGTCAAAACTGTTTTTGGAGACTGCCATTGTGCAGAGCCCAGCGTAAGGAGGGGATGATGTGTGGGACTAAAAAAAAGGTCCCATCTCTGGGTGCAGCCCTGTGTGTGTTTTCCATGGATATCCCAATTCTTTGTCACACCTCCACGCCAGCTCTCGCTAAACTCTGCCTCTGCAGGAGTCACATCCCTGTACCTCATTGGGCATCCTGCTTCCCACAGCATCCACAGGCTCTGGGAACATCCCACGCTCTCTGCATGGAATTCTGCAGGCTTTGTGCTGCCACAGGAGACCTTAACACAGCCCCAAAGGGACAGAGACTGCGAAAACTCAGGGGCAATCTCCAATCTGTCCCACGGCTGTCTGGATCTCATTTTCATTCACAGGAAGAATCTCTCCCAGTTTGACCAGGGCTGTGGCTGCAGCTGCTGGTGCTCAAGTACCCATTTGCAGGCTGCAAAACAGACAAACTGCCAGAGCAAGGGCACATCTCAGCTTCAAAGCCAGTAAAGATAAAAAAAGCGCCAAAAGGCATTAAAAAAAAAATATAACAACATCACATCACCCACCCAAGTACAAGAGCCTTCTTCAGCTTGCTGGCTTAATTAAAATCATTTATTATCCTGTGGTGGGAGGATGAAAACCCCTAGGATGGTAGGAACCCAAACCTGGTGCTGGGAATGAGGTGGTTGCAACCAGCAGGGCTGTGGCAAGAGTGTCCTGTGCCTGCATCCCAGTGAAGAAGGGTGTGTTGGTAGTGCTTTCCTGATCCAGATTGTTTCTCACAGAGCCATAAATTTGAAATCTGAGTCCTTGCAACAGCCAGTTTCCAGGGAATGAAAGGGTCTCCAAGGTTTTCCAAAGTGTGGGAGTAACAGAGCTCCTCTCCTCTCCAGACCACCATTCTGCAGTCTCTGGGTTATGGAGTTCCTGCTGTATTTGTGCATCTGCAGAGTCATTATTTGCCCCCACGCACCCAGGGACTCAGGAGATGAGCTGCTGAGACACAGACAGCAGGGAAATCAAGGGCACAGCTAAGCAAATCTCCCTTTTCCTCCATTCTGATGGACTTACACCCATTTCTGCATCCCTTCCCCTGGGATGACATCTCCCGAGAATCCTTGTCCTCCCAGCAGCCACAAATAAACACGGAGCAAAATGTGGCAACAAAAACTGCCTGCCAAGGGCAAAATTATTTTTTAAAGGAGCTAAGAATAGTAGGATGAGGTTTTTTTCTTCATGTTCCCTTCACGTGCTTTCTTATTATATTTCCAAGTGGGAATATCCCAGGGTTTATGTGCTTGGCCATGCTGATATGATCCCAGTGCTGGAACACAACCCTGGAAAATAGTCCACAGGAGGATGGCAGGTGATGCTACCCATGGAGGAGCACCCACCACTTCTCACAGAACCATTTAGGTTTGGAAAGACCTCCAAGGTCATTGAGTCCAACCATCATCCCAAGTCCAGCATTGAACCACATCCCTCATATCTATGCCTTTTCTGGAGTATTTTTACCTATTTTAAACTTCATTTTTTAGGTTTTTGGGCTGCTACTCAATCCTCATCACCACCAAAAAAGAAATTTTTGCCAGCAGGGAAGGAGAGATGAAGGCAACAATGAGGCAGGCAGGGACCTCACCAAGCAGGGCAACACATCCCAGTCCCCGGGCAAAGAGAGCAGGGCAGATCTATTTAAAATAGCCCAGAGCAGCCAAAACAGGTGAGAAGAGGAGTCAGGCTGAGCACCTGAGCTCAGATGCCTTTCCCAAGGAGAGCAGGTAGATGTCCAGCAGGATTTCTCCCAGCTGTTTCTCATCCCTATCCTTCCCCAGGCTGTGCCATGTCCCAGCTCCCAGCCCTGGGCAGGCAGGAGGGCTGCTGGATTAAGCCCTTTTCTGACCCAGAGATGGGGCAACTGTGAGGTGTTTAAAAAACTTTTATTCTATTTTCAGTCTCATGTGAAGGGTGAGACAATACAGATGTTATAATTCGCTCCATCATAATCAGATACCAATTAATTCTTAATAACAATAATTGTCAGCATTTCTTGGCCTATCTGCTTTAGCCACACCATGCTGTAAATGCCTTAAAGCAAATAATCTAAAATTGCCCCTCGTGGGTTCTACTACAGTGCATCTTTACAGTTCTATTTCTCCAAAGCACCTAGTCTTATTTACACAAAACCATCCTTTAAAACTTGTTTCTAGCTCCATTTCTCCCTCAGCAATGTCTGTCCTGTTCCATGGCATTTCTTAGCCAGCATTTCTTATCTCAAGGTTTGCATTCAGATGCACACACTGTGTGAGCCTTCTGCCAGGCTTTGAGAATCCTCTACAAATCCATTTCCAGACCCCAGCACTGCCCTTGGTGCCCCAGCAGCAGCAGCAGAAAGCTCGAAAATCACCTCTCATCGTTCCTCAGCCGCCGAGGCAGCCCAGAGGCACAAATCCTTGTGTGCAGCTGGAGTGGATTGGCAACCTTGGCCTTCAGCCGCCTGCTCAGGGGAGGGGCACTGCCCTTGGTGCCCCAGCAGCAGCAGCAAGCTTGAAAATCACCTCTCATCGTTCCTCAGCCACCGAGGCAGCCCAGAGGCACAAATCCTTGTGTGCAGCTGGAGTGGATTGGCAACCTTGGCCTTCAGCCGCCTGCTCAGGGGAGGGGGAGCACATCAGCTGTGAGCTCTGGCACCTCGTTCGGGCAGAGGCCTGGCAGTGGCAGCTGCAGAGCCATGCCATCCAGCTGCTCCCTCCCTGCTGGCTGCCCGTGGGCTGGCAGGGTCTGCAGGACACGGGGCGAGGCGTTGGGCGTGCTTGGGATGGCTCAGTGCGTCCCCTGTGCTGCTCGGCTTCCTCCAAAAACATACCCAGATTACATTTTACAGCAGGCCATTCTTTAAAATGATAAATAAATCATGGATGTACACACATGCAGCTGAGCTTCCTCCAAAAACATACCCAGATAACATTTTACAGCAGGCCATTCCATTCTTTAAAATGAAAAATAAATCATGGATGTACACACATGCAGCTGAGCT